TTCTGTTTATTTCTATAGCCACTCAGAATTAACGCTTATTACCCCGGCAGAGGTGTATAAGGTGTCATTTTCATGGGTAATCGCCTTGGAGTGACTCCATCACATGAACAGAGTCAAGCTAACCATGGACGTCATATCGCCATCTGAATCTTGCCAGTCTCACTGGTTTTCACTAGTCTCATGACATGTCCAATTAGCATGCCAGTCGAGCGTGACCGGCGAAGAAAGATGTCTGTTCACTGCTGATAGTGCCAACAGGTGGCCCTGTGAATGCGGCGCTAACGGGCGAATAGGAATGGTGACGAGCGTCTTCACAGCTGCCGAGCTGGCGCCGCTCCAGCCACTGACATTTCATCGTTTCGTTGAAGTTGGTTTGGGATGTTGAATGACAGCCTAGCAGGCATGGATTTACACGACCAAGAGAGATCAAGTTAGTGTCAATGGCACACCAAGACAAAAGAACAAAGAGAAGAGCTGCTCTAAGGCGAAACCCTGGTCTCGGCCGGGAGATGGGCGAATTCCGACCAAGGTTCCGGGCCGCCACAATTGGCCGCATCCAAGGTTGCAACAATAACTTTGCCTCTTGAGGTAACTGTAAAAGTTGGTAGCAGCAGGTCGTCGTGAGATAATAGATCAGCCCCCAGAGGCTCAGCCCCGATGGCCACACGAATGAACTCTAGTCTGTGTTCGACGATGGCACCGTACTGCCATAGAATAGGCAGGTATCGTCATCCGTCCCTCTCAGAGTTTTTATAAATAAAACCGCACGAGTCGCTATCCTAGACGCTGTTAGTTTAGCTCGAGCACTTAGCCTACGGGATAGTCATCACCATAGTACCGAGAAGCTCGGGGCGTCGCCTGTCCCTTGCCGCCCACATCCCATAGTGATCTCCCCGGCTTGGTCTCATTGATGGCGTAAGACCCTTCATTTTAAATCCATGGCACCGCGGCACACGTCGCCTCTTTCCCAGGTCCCGGTTCACTCAGGTCCGTCCATACAGTGTTGCTGCTTGGCAGTGCTTGCTGAGAAAGACAGAGACTCGGCCGATTGCCGTTAATTAGTGGGAGACAAGATTTTCTGCCATTGAAACGTTCGTTGTCATTCCCGGCTTTTCTTTTCTTATCCCTCTGCCCGTCTAATTGTATTTCTTCTGCTCTTGAGACTACCTCTCTTCACATGCTTGCGTCATTCACTCATCGGGCCCTTGCAGTTAGTTCTTGAACCTGGGTTGGCCCTCTCCAGCATCATATCCGGCAATCCTGCAGCGCCTGCGCCTCGCGCATACGCCAGACGACACACGCCTGCGTGACGCACTGAGTCGCCAGAAACCCGCAGCCCACTCTACCGAGTCGGTACCGGTGGATCCGTCATTGAACACGCACGCACGCTCGCTTACTTGCCAGTGGTAGTATATACCATCACCGCACCACCTCCTCCAGCGGCTCGATCTGCTTGATGCAGCTCAGCGGCGCAGAGAGATGGCGACGCCGGTCCAGGACAATGGATCAGGACGGCCGGTACCCGCCACTCCAACCGCTGGCGCTGCTGCTCCTGGTCCTCCCGCTCCGATGCGCAGCAGCAGCAACATCGCCGGCAACACGACCAGTGGGAGTGGCTTGGCATCGGCCGCGGCAGTTCAAACACCAGCGGCAGCCGCAACCACGTCGACGCCCACATCGATGATGGAAGGGCAGCAGCAGGCCAAGACGGTGAAACGGCCACGGCCCGTCAAGAGCTGCAACTCATGCCGCCAGCGCAAGCTACGCTGCGACCGCACATGTCCGTGCTCGCAGTGTGTCAAGTCCAATCGGCCTTGCAAATACGCCAATGACCAGGACGTCGGCGGCAATGCGAGCTACTCCGATGGCGGCAGCGATGTCGAGGCCAGCAGTCCTCGCCCAGCCAAGCGTGTCCACCGCGTTGCCCCACCGCAGTACCTCCCTGATGCTGGACTGCCGTCACATGCGCATGTGCAGAACGGTCAGGAGCATCGGTCGGCAAGCGCATCGTCGTCATTGCTGGACGTTTTCGGGGCGCGACTGGAGCGCCTGGAGAGACTCGTTCTTTCAAAAGGCAGCCCTGGTGCCGCAGAATGGGGCCCATCATCAAGAACCCATCACGATGCGGGATTCACCTCGGTAGCTGGGTCTCCGGGCAAGATCCGTGGTCTCAGTGTGAAGGGGAACCTGCGAACCCGTCTCTTTGGCCAAAATAGTACGCGCGTGTTGCTGAATCTGTTTGATGAGGCTAGAGACTTCATTCTCAACTCGTCCAATAATGAGAACCTCAGGGAGCTCTTCGTTCAGCTTCAGAGCATTTATAGGGCAATGCAGGAGGAGCATCGCAAGGCACTTTCGCCCATTACTGTCTTCATAGACTCCATGGTTCCTGTCCAAAAGCGCATGGCGGATATCCTCCCGAAGAAAGTGGCCTGTGACCGCCTGATCGAAGCGTACATTGGCGCGTCTGAAGGCTTATACCGCATCATCCATATCCCTTCCTTCCGTGCCGAATATGATCAATTCTGGCAGACAAATCGGCCCAGCGATGGTTTTCTCCCACGGCTGTTGTGCATGCTCTCCATTGGCGCGCGTTTCGAGACCGACTCGCGCGGCCTCAGTCATGATAGGTCTGATGGCGTACATCTTCCTACTGCTTGCGCGCTCGTCAGAACCTATCTCGACAGCCTGCGCGGCAAGCAGCTGGTCGACATCAACACACTACAGTCAGAGGTCTTACTCCTTCATGCACAGCGGATGGTCTCAACACGGCAGCAAGAATCATGGACACAGCTTGGCCTAATTGTCCGGATGGCTATGACAATGGGTCTCCACCGCGATCCGTCCGAGTTCCCCCAGATCAGGCCGTTCTTTGCTGAGACTCGTCGTCGGCTGTGGTATACCATTGCAGATATGGATCTTCATGTCGCCCTAGCCTGCAACCTTCCCTGCGCGATCCGAGATGGCGAGTACACTTGTCGTCCACCAAGCAACCTGGACGATGATGACATCCATCCAGACATGACGAGGCTTCCAGAGCCGAAACCCATTGACCAATACACCAACACGCAACTGCAAGCCTACGCCGCGCGAACACTTCCCTACCGCATCCGCGTTTCTACCATCATCAACCGCCTCGATAGTCTGCGCGACTTCCAAGAAGTCCTCGACTGCGGCGCACAACTCGAACGCATCCTTGATGATATCCACTGCTTATTCCCACGCAACCATGCACTTGATCCTCGCGGAAAGTTCAAAGAGTGGCGCATGCGTGCGCTACTAGATATGCATGTGCGCCGACCACTGCTTGCACTGTACCGCCCGTTTGCACTAAGCACAGTCGATTGTCCGGCTCACATTAGTACGAGCTATCTCAAGTCTAGCATGACAATGCTCACCTACATGGACGAGCTAGATCCACGTATGCCAGGCTTTGTGGATGTCAGCCATATGTATAATGTCGTCTTGAAACACGATATCATGCAGGCAGCGTTTAGCGTCTGCTACTACATCAAATCTGCCCGCGAGAGTCAAGCGTCTGGCATGAATGGTTATTTGGGCAGTCCTGAGGTTATTGAAATGCCTTTCGTCAACGCACTGGATCCTCGAACGATATGGAGCACGCTGGGCATGACGAAGACGGTCGAGAAGACACTTGATGCTCTGATTGGTCTAGTAAAAGACTCCAGTTGCGATATGAAGGACGTAGTAGTTCTGTCCGTCGTGCTAAATTCTGTGAAAGCGGTCCCGACTGAACAGAGGCTAGAGACCATCAAAGGCGGTGTGAGGAGGGTGATAGATGCTTGTCTGCAAGCACTGAATACAAGCTCTGAGGCAATGTCCTCGATGACGGTGAGATAGTCAGTTGTGATCGCGGTATGCTTGGTGCTGATGATGTCCAGATTCTCCCGGGAGCGCCGAACATGCTTCCAAATCAGCCATTCCCGCCGAATGACCTGTCGATGGCAGGCGTAAGTGCCCGTAGGGCTTGTTCTCCGTCTCCAATAGCTAACATGATGACGCAGTTCTTAGATGATTTCTCCTTCTGGGACGTGGATCTTTGGGATCCAGTGGGGTATCAGCTTGGATAGGCCTTGATACACTGAAAGAACGATCAACGGAAACAACACACAACACTCGATATCTCCTATTCGCGTGCTTCCACGCGCACTCGCAAGTTTTCCTCGCTGTTCAAAGTGATTGAGCATGCGGCGGCTGGTCTTGCGCTGCGTTTGTTGGAAGAGCACGAGTAAAATCCACCAGCTGAGACGTTTGCAGGCCGACATCGTCTTTCTCTGGAGGGTTGACTTCTATAAAATGGCTCATCTTGAATGTCTGGTTGGTATGAAGATGTGCGATAGGATCAGCGCACTTCTGCGTGTGCCATATACGAAAGGGATGGTGTCAGATTCTGTTCGATACTGGCGACAGGGGAAACCAGAGGAGATCAAGATCCCGACAATGACCAGTCTTCAATTTCATTAACAGATGGGAAGGGGGAGACCTCAGGCTCTCTCTACTAGTGGGAGAAAGAGGCTGCCTAAGGAAGGGTGTTTAATGCTGAGCAATATCAACAGCGGTTGAGAGAAAGTAGCCGAGGTGGTGCTCGAATGCATTCGAAGCTAAACCGATAAGACTATCTAACCCAACCTCTCCCTCAGACACGACGCCTACCGCACACGGAGTAAACCTTCAGGCAGGATCAACGTCGCACATAAATACCCATAATCCGAAAGGAGGGCGCGCAGTAGCCAGGACGCTGAAATCAAGATCCTGTGGCTGGGCGTGAAGGAACGGTCGAGAAACGGCCTGTCTCCTGTTCCTTTTTGCCTGTTCCCTTTGCGTGCTCTGAGGCTGTCTCGATATCTAGAGGGCAAGTGGATGTCGATGGGACGATTTGGTGTTCGAACCCACACCAAAGGAATGATTTTTGTTGGATGAACCTGAGAAAAGGGTTGGAATTTTGACGGCAAGATGATCATTTGTTTTCTATCATTAAGATACCCTCTTTTTCCTTTGTCAGCGCGAGACTCCATCACCTCAGAGGTGTACCACCAAGCACCTGGATGATTGATATCTACCTAGATTATTAGATTTTAATCTCGGCCTGGCCCGACTCCGGATACGAATGACAATCCGTTCTTCCAGTCCACCTTACAGCTCCATACTAATGGCGCCAAACCTCCTTGATGTCTGTTTCTCTCAATTCATGATTACTGGTGCTCGACCGTCGTACTGATTAGTCTCAATGGCATCAACAATAAACGACGCCACGCTTTTCTTCGTAATCTTTGACAACAGGCCCACCCCCTGCCCGTTGTCAGGCAAGACCTTGACCGGTGCTGCCTCTCCATCCGCAAGTACGCATGACCGTATCAACACGAAGTCTATACTCCTTCCGTTCCCATCTGTCCCGTCTGAAGATGCGGCTTCGCGAATAACCTGGTCTACTGCATTGTGGTCGACGAATTGCCACTTCATGTTGCTGTGTTGGAAGAGGAGACGGAACATCCAGGGTGAATTGTTCATACTATCTCCCGTACCCAGGCTCGACATGGCGACAAGTTTCCGCACGCCATGTTTCTTCATGGATTGTAAGAGATTTTCTGCAGCGTCTGCCATGAGCCGCGGAGGTGTGTCTGCAGACGGAGCCGCGAAAGGGCTGTCACTGGTTCGTCGGGCGTTGAGTGTCGACACTACTGCCTCTGGTAAACTAGAGATTCCATTCGCCAAGAAGGCTCGCTCGACGTCGTCGGTGGAAAGAGGAGAGCCAGTGATGAGAGTGAGTCCGGGGCGAGCCTCAAGCGAATTTGAGGAACGAACAAGGGCAGTCACGGTGTGGCCACGCTTGAGGACGTCTTCAATAACGAGTTGGCCTATGCGGCCGCTACCGCCGATTATCAGAACTCTCATGATGTTTTTTTTTTGAAAGGCCGCGCTAATGGATCGGTTGTTGAAGGAATGGACGAGACGAATACTGTAACACGCGTGAATTGGTGTATGTTATAATGAGTTAAAACTATCAGCGAACTACTCGAGCAGCCTGGCCTATTTATATCGTCTCGTTGACCAGTTTGGTAGGCATGCTGTCCAAAGAAATAAGGGGCTTTTGTTGAATAACTCGGAGCCGGCTATTCGGCCGAGTGATGACAAACTCCAGCTTTTAGAGCTTGGTCAAGCTGTCTTCACCACATTCTAACAACATTGATCTTTAAAAACTCATGTGAGCTCCTGGGAGCTACTGATATACCTAGTGGGTCTAAATAAAACATGCGAAGCAAAAGTGCGAGGTTTGCGCGGTGTAGTGCATGGTAAATAAATTAGATCCAGTGAGGAATCGGCAACAAGGTCACGCTTTGGCCTCATACTTTTATGTTACAACAAAGGGATCATTCGAAGAAAACAATCTTCTCTCGAAGGTTCATGTGTAAGCCCTACTATCGCCATGAAAACACCAGGAAAGCGTCTGTAACATCTGTGATCGAGGGCTGGAGTCGGCTCCGACAAATCCTTCCGGCCGAGTGCTAGGCAGCCATCAAAAGTCCGTTATAAGCACCGTCTCCGGCTCCGAGCTAAAAGCAAATGCAGAGGGTTCAATCGGCCGAAACTACTTACAAACAAACAAAAAAGACCTGGCTTGGTGAGATCAAAATCCTAATTCTAGAGATTTCAGTAGCTTGTTCCATTAAGCTTAGAGGTAAATGATGCATGGATACCGAAACTGAACACCACGAATATGTGCCTACCATCTCCCTCCATGGTATTGGTCCTCCCAATGTCAGATTGGGAATCAATTTTGCCCAGGCACGTTGGACTCGGCCGATAGAACCTCCCCGGCGTTCGGCAGATAGTGATGCATATATAAACCTTGCGATTCCGTCGCTTCAGTTTCTTCTCAAGTGCAGTCTCAGTCGTCCTAGCTAAACTTAAGCACCTTTCAAGCCTCTTGTTTCCATCAATTAACATGTTCAGCGACAACGAACAAGTCGCAATCATTGGCGGTGGACTTTCGGGAATTGCCATGGCGCTTTGTCTTCATAAGCTCGACATCCCCGCCACTGTCTACGAGATGCGAGAAACAGAGCGAGGGGAGCGCACATCTGGCGGTGGGATGATGATAGGGGCTAACTCTCTGGCGCTCCTCGACAAATGGGACGTCTATGAAAAGATGGTGCCTCGTGGATATCCCTTTGAGCGAGTCTATTACAAGAACGCGCAAGAGGAGACCATCGACTCGTTTCCCTTCGGCTCAAAAGAGCGAGATGGCTACGGCAGCCTCCGCATCTATCGCCAACAGCTCCTGGATGCAGCCTATGAGACTTGCAGAGAGAAGGGCATCAATATTCAGTTCAATAAGAAATTCTCCCATGTTGTCGAAGAGACAGATAACGGCGTGACCTTCGAACTTACAGATGGAACCACTCACACGGCTGCTTTGCTCATCGGAGCAGACGGAATTCATTCCAAGATCCGCGACTACATTCTCCCTGGAGTCAAACCCAAGTTCTTGAACCTCATGGCCGTAACATATGAGGCTGCGGCGGCTCATCTGCGCGTCCCTAAAGACAAAGATTACAAGCTACCCGTGCAAGTAACAACAGATAAAGGAATCTTCATTCTCGCACCGCAGACGCCCGATGGCAGTCTGATGCTGGCCGGAACGCAGTACTCCACGCCAGATCGCACGCGAGAGGAGTGGGCCGCGCTTCTCAAAGACACTGAGGGCCTGAAGCAGCTCATTCGGCGAGATATTGACTCGTATCCAGATATCATCCGATCTGCACTGGAGAACATCAATGGAGAAACGTTCAACGTCTGGCCGTTCTACCTGTTGCCCCAGCTCGAGCGCTGGACATCACAACCGCACCGGCGCGTCGTTATCCTTGGCGATGCAGCGCACGCCCTTCCGCCCACGACAGGGCAAGGAGCGTCACAGGCATTTGAGGATGTATACACACTCGGATTATTGATTGTGCGACTACGAGCGGAGCCGAAGCTACGATGGGAGGAGGCTCTGGAGTTCTGGCAGAAGATGCGCCAAACAAGAATTGACGACCTGTTGCTTCTCACGAAACAGATGAATAACAAGCGTCTCCCAATGAATCAACAGGCGCTACTGAGTGGGGATGACATCTGGGTCAACGAGCTGGATAAAAATCCAGGGCAGATGGACTGGCTTTATCAGCCAAAACTTACTGAGCAGATTGATGCTTGGGTTGCGGCAGCGTTGGAGAATGGTGTTTAATAATCGGGATTTACTGTTAGCCCAGGGTTGACTTAGATCCAAACCCCACTTCGCGACAGCGTGACGAAGAGTAATCAACAAACCCGGGTAGTCACTCCGGATGCGGCTCTTTGTCAGCGGTAAAGACCGCATTAGAGATGGTTTCATAGCTGAATTGACGAATCGCTGATAACATTTTCCGAGAAGTTTGGTGCAGGTTTCGCCTTGAGTATTCCCACTCGCAACAAACACTACTCAGACCTAGCAGTACCTCAAGAGCCCGCCTGATTACATGCCTAGGTAGGGTTGCTTCTGCTTAGCCGGTCAATGGAAACTGGGTGTAAAGTACGATTGAGTGTTATTGAATGCCATATAGACTCTTGAATCTAGTCATAATAAGTTACCATTCTAAAATGAGTTCATCTCCATTGGGTTGTAATTTGCATTCTACCGCCCAAGGTACCATCTTGTATAGAGAGTTTAGTCGCTTGTCCTGGTGGTATCACGTAAAGTGACTTCACAAGCAAAATACCATACCTAAACAGGAGATGCAGATACCTAAAAAGGCCATGCATGGCCCCAAAACACAAAAGCATGTTGACCCCAGTTTTCCCAACGTATTACGAGAGACTGCTTCTACGTCATTAACAGCTTCTGCAGCGTAGTTGCATCCTTCCGCAACTCCGTCGTCTGGCTGGTGCAGCTGTGCTGCCCTCCTCCCACACGCTGTAGCCACACAGTACCTACCTAGGTAGTTAGCGCGCTCACCCATGATAACCACTGTCAACGTCTCAGCGCTCATCATAGCTATACCAGTCAAGGTTTTGTATAGCCGAATTTCTGGTCAATGAACAAAAAAGAGTGGCGTCTAGGAGTATTCTCTCATCACGGCCATCGTACGATTTCCTGTCATATAACAGTCTTTAGCAATTCAATCAATTGATGTGCTTAGGTCCATCTTTCCTCCCAACGTAAAGCCTCTCTGATCTTGGCGTCAACAAATCAACCATCTAGTAGTCAAAGTTCGTAGGATGCTATGTTTCCGTAAAAGGCTTACTCAGCGATAGACATTAGACTCCGTGACTCCGGCATTGAAGCATTGAACAACAACCGATCTTCTAGTAGGAAGGTTTGTACATCAAGGTATTCTTTCGTCAACATGTTGACCCGCAAACCCGAAGCACAGCAATGCATTCGATTATTGATCACGCTAACGCTTTAGTTGACTCCTACTCCCGAATTGGCGTGTAGGTCAGCTATTCTCCACTATGATGAATCTCCTTATTCTTCGAATATAAAAGAATCTCGAGTATCCTTTCATCATGTCTTCTGTTTCCAGACAAAAACAATTGCAGCTTTCTCGTTACCCACAAGGTGCCATTCTCATTATCAAGAACTTATACACAAGACAAACTCAACCTCCTTGTTGATTGCGCAAACTCGATATTCAATTCTAGGACTGCTTAGAAACAAGTCCAGCTTAGTCGAACAAACACATCTAACTCTCGCACAACAATCCAAATAAAAAGCCCCGTCACCCAAGATGTCTTCAAGCGACAAGAACCTCACGGTCGAAACCGCTACCAACCTTCTTCCCTTCGCTAACCCAAACCTAAGCTGGGAATCCAACGACGAGACCTCACAGAAAGGCTTCACTGTTAGTGGAGTCGATAACACTCCAGGCAAGAAAGCTCTCTTCTTCATCCTCGAGGCGAAGCCCGGCAAGGAGCACCTGGTACAAGGCTTTCTGAAGGACATCAATGAGGGCGTGCTCCAAGAGCCCGGAGCGGGACCCTGGATGGCTTGGAGATACTCTAAGACAACATTCGGTGTCTTTGAGGGCTTCCCCGACGCTGAGGCCCGTCGGGCTCACATCAATGGTCCTGGAGGACGCAACTTTCTCCGCACTGACGTCCTCAAGGAGATGCTCGCTCACCCTGCGCAAGTTCACGAACTTGATATTCAGCATGGCAAGTGGGGAACAATTTTTGGTCAGATCGTTCAGCCTGTGGCCTAAAAGCTACTTGTGATTGTATAGTCAAACATGTGAGGGTGGACGGTCAGTACATTCTCAGGCGTCAAATTCAACTTCTTTACAGTGAGCGAGGCTTGGATTGAGAATTCCGTGTCATTTGATATAGTATATATAGACGAATGATAATCAGTATCTTCACTCAAGAAGGTGAACGATCTATATATGCAGCGACAACACGCCTGTTCCAGTGATTTAGTAGACCGAAAGTTTATGGCCTATATCCGGGAATATTTTCTCGAGGAAGATAACAGCGACGAGATCATTTCGGATATATAACTCAAAGACAGACATTTATTTCTCTGAATGATACTTTAGGGCGAGACTTGCCCGAGGCTTACCGAATAATAAAGTTAATCTCGCTCGTAAATCATCGTGAAAGCTAGAGCGACATCTTACACAATGAGTCTGATGTGGTATCCTTAAAGATCCTCTTTCTCTTATCGCATGAGTTTAAGACTAGGTGCGGGCAGCACGTATCCCTTCGCACTGTGGTATCAGACACTGTTAAAGCGAATTTGCACATCTTCTGGTAACGTTCTAGATAATAAGAAGCCTTGGCAGGGATCATCATCAACTTATCAAGAAAGTTTTGAGACCAAAATGTTAGTTTAGTGTAGTGTGGTTTTCATGACCTTATTTAGGCTAAGATCAAGTAGTAGCCCTGCAAAATGGGTTTGTTGCTAGTCTATCTTCGTGGAAACCTCACTTATCTCATAGTGTCGGGAATCCAGCGGTCAAGTTTTCCGACAAATCTCATATCTTATCAATTGCGGAATCCTTCGTTCTAATTTCAATCAAACCTTCAATCACCCTCCGGATATAAGAATCATTTCCATGTCATGCCTAAAGCCGCTTGTAATGTAAGGTGTCTCCCATCTCAGAACGAATATACGTGCTGTTGTAGAATTGTATCTATTGTCACAGATAACGATGAAGACAATTGAGAATTTTCTACTCGCGGGTATTCTTATTGCGATACCTGGCGTTCATGCTAGAAGCGGTAAATGTGCATCAGAAGGGCCAATTGTCAGTGTGAAGAATGGTTCCTACTCTGGAACATATTCGAGCAATTATGATCAAGATTTCTTCCTCGGGATACCTTTCGCACAACCTCCTACGGGAATCCAAAGATTTGAGCCACCCCTAAGTGTCAATGCATCGTGGGCAGGTGTCAAAAAAGCAAATGACTATGGTCCAGCGGTTAGTGGCCCATCAAATGATAACAACTTTTTCTTCACGTTATAGACTAATAATAGTTATGTAGTGTGTTGGATATGGGGTATGTCACCTCAAAGAGATTGTACTCTCGTCATTGCTCACGTCAAGTAGTCAGATCTCTATAATGCCCCCACATCAGAGGATTGCCTCACGTTGAATGTTGTGCGACCTCACGGACGAAAACGGAAGTTACCAGTTGCAGTCTGGCTTTACGGGTGAGTTGAATATGGCTTGTGAGAACAACTGCCCAATACTGACAGTCCTTGCTTGCGTGTAGAGGCGGATTCTATACAGGAAGAAGTTCCGCGCCAGGCTATAACCTCTCAAGAATTGTTCAAAGTTCAGTCCAGGCCGAGCAACCAATCATTGCAGTGTCTCTCAACTATCGTCTGTCAGCATTTGGATGGTTATGGAGCGAGGATGTCAAGAACAACCATGGCACCCCAAATGTCGGCTTCCTCGACCAGAGACTTGCTTTAAGATGGATCCGTGAAAATATTGAATCATTCGGCGGTGATCCTGATAAGGTGGTCATATTTGGAGAGAGTGCTGGGGGTCAGTCGGTAGGCTGGCATCTTATAGCATATGGTGGTCGCGATGAAAAGCTTTTCCGTGGCGCTATCATGGAATCTGGCAGTGTTCTCCAGAGATGGCCCCTCTGGGTAGATAATCCTCCTGCCTACCAAGAAGAGTCCTACATGAATCTAACGGATGCCACTGGCTGCACAACCGCAGCAAGTCCATACCAGTGTCTAAAAGCACTACCGTTCAATGAACTTAACACAGCATTGAATATCACCAACACCTGGATGTCAGGCACAGGCCTCGGGCCTTTTATTGGCGTGTACGACGGTGATATCATCCAAGACTTCCCCAGCAGACTTGTCCGCGATGGTCGCTTTGTCAAAGTACCAATCATATACGGAACGAATACCGATGAGGGAACTGTCAGCGGGAAGCGTGGAGTCAACACCGACGAAAAATTTAGAGATATATTGGCTCAGGCTGGACTTAACGAGACTACAGCTCCCTTTTATGAAGCCATGTATCCCAACATTGACGGCATCGGCATACCCGCGACGTTTGATCCTACAGCGATTACACAGAATCAATCCAGTCTAGATTACGTCAACATCACAGCTTTGGGGAGACAGTGGAAACGCGTCTCGGCTTTTTATGGAGATGTATCGCAGCATACTCCGCGTCGAGCTATGGTACAAACATGGAGCCAGCATGGCCTGACATCATACAGCTACCGCTTCGATATTACACCAGCTCAGAATCCCACTTACACCGGCGCTACTCATGCAGTTGAGGTTCCGTTCGTCTTCAACAATGTCGATGGATGGGGTTTTACAGTCAATCCTTTTGGAACACCAGAGGATCCTCGACATCAAGGATACCTGGATGCATCAACTTTGATGACTCGCATGTGGATATCATTCTTTAATAATCTTAACCCAAACAATCATGGCTGTAAGTACCTACTAGAGACTGTTCAAGTTTCAATCCCAACTGCAGACTGAACGACAACGCATCGTTTTGTCTAGAAAACCTCAGCTGATATCTCCAACCTTTTAGTGCCATCCCAGCCACAATGGCTTTCCTTTAACTCAACGAGCACTGGGGTTGGAAAGAATTTCGTCTTTGCCATGTCAGAAAATGAGCACGCCTTCTCTCCATACATGGAACGAGATGACTGGAGAGTCCCCAACATCGACTTCATTCGGGCACATGCTGTGGATCACTGGTACCGCTGATTGCCCCTTAGAGATTTGTACGTGATATAGTGAAACCTCATGTATTCGGCGATGAGGAGAAATAAAATGGATTTTTGGATATGTTAAAGCTCAGCTGATTCAATGAGCGTCGACGAGCATCTCGGATGAAGCGCTCAAATGAGCCAAAACCATTTTGGTTATCTAAGAGGTGTTCTCACGGGCAATTTTTTTTTTATTCGGTCTGTGTGGTTCATGTACGGACCGACGGTGGAATAGTGAGTGTCGAGGCCGTTCGTGGTGGCCCAATCAAGTTTAATGTTATTGGTTATTGCCCCGGCAAAAATTAACCGAAGCCGTGATGGGGCCGCCTGAAAGCGCCCCCATCACGGCGCCCTGACAGGCCGGGGTGTGGCAGGCAAGATGCCTCGGCAGACTTTGACACCCCCGCAAAAAGCCGGGGTTGAAGAGCGTGGAGAAGGAGTTCCCCGAATGCACTCTTCACATTACTTACTACCTAGTTAAACCCACATGCAACCCACGGCAAAGTGGCGATGGGGGATCTTACTCCTATATAGTGATTGATTTCCAATCTTCCCTCCTGTATTGTAACGACTTTTGCTCCTCCTTCGGACATTCACCAACGACTTACATAATTCTCTCACCACCTCACGAGAACTTGACTCTGTATAGTACTACTATTTAACCACTCTCATCACATATCACACAGTCGTTATGACGCCTAAGCAGCGGCAGCCGTGCTACGTGCTCGGCGTGGGCATGACCAAATTCATCAAGCCGCGCGGCAAGGTCGACTATACGGAACTGGGATTCGAGGCTGGTGTCAAGGCGATGCTGGATGCACAGATCAACTACGACGACGTCGAACAGGGCGTTGCTTGCTACTGCTACGGCGATTCCACATGCGGCCAGCGTGTCTTCTATCAGTTCGGCATGACCCAAATCCCCATCTACAATGTCAACAACAACTGCTCTACTGGCTCGACCGGTCTCTATATGGGCCGTACTCTCATCGCCAACGGTGCTGCTGACTGCGTTCTCGTCGTCGGCTTCGAGAAGATGATGCCCGGAAGTCTGCAAACATTCTTCCAGGACAGAGAGAACCCCACCGGAACGACCACGATGATGATGGCTGAAACGAGAGGATTGACCAAGGCTCCTGGTGCCGCACAGATGTTTGGCAATGCCGGTCGGGAATACATCGAGAAGTAAGTGTAGCAAAACCACTAATTCTCAATATCCTTCGTAGACTTACACTTTATAGGTACGGTGCTAAGCCCGAGGACTTCGGAGAGATTGCTCGGATAAACCATGCACACTCTGTCAAGAACCCGTACTCTCAGTTCCACGACGTTTACACACTTGAGCAAATCATGAACGCACCCAAGATTCACGAGCCACTCACCAAGTTGCAATGCTGCCCGACTTCGGATGGTGGTGCCGCTGCTGTGCTCGTCTCGCAAGCCTTCCTTGACGCGAGACCGCACTTGAAGGACCAAGCTATCCTCATCGCCGGCCAGTGCCTGGCAACAGACGCTCCATCTCTCTTCTCACGCAGCGCCATCGATTTGATGGGCTACGAGATGACACAACACGCCGCCCGCACCGCTCTCGGGGAGGCCGGCATCACGCCCCAGGACTGCCAAGTGTGCGAGCTGCACGACTGCTTCAGTACAAACGAGATGGTCGTCATCGACGCCCTAGAGCTCAGCGAGAAGGGCAAGGCGCACGAGATGGTGCGCCGCGGCGACATCACCTATGGCGGCAAGATCGTCATCAACCCCTCGGGCGGACTCATCTCAAAGGGTCACCCGCTTGGCGCAACCGGCATTGCTCAGTGCGCCGAGCTGGTCTGGCACCTGCGCGGCTGGGCGAACAACCGCGCCATCCCGCATACCAAGCATGCACTTCAGCACAATCTAGGTCTGGGCGGTGCTGCTGTGGTGACGGTGTACAAGAGAGCAGATGGCAAGGAGGCGCCTGTGGTGGACTCGGCGACGGTGGGCAAGATCAACAAGCTAGGCTACAACCCGGCCGTGGAGGCCAAAGGTTTTACAGCGGCACACGCAAAGGCCGTAAGAAGTAAGAGCAGGTCAAGTGACTGGGCGCTGCAAGATACCGAGAAGAAGGTCGAGGCGAGGTTTTGAGCAGATGACAAGGAGGGTATGCCAATAGCGGGCTAGTGTCTGCCAGCTATGTCGTCGATAAGATTGTAAAACCGAGTAGCAACAACCAAGGCTGACCTGGGAATGGGCCGTCAGCGGTTGTTTCCGTGTAAAGGGGAGCATAGCGGCGTTGTTAGTTGAATCATCACCAGAATCGACCCCCATGTATATGGCATGGCTCGCGCAGCCAATAAAACAAATACTGAGTCTTGTGTTTCTAAAGCACATGATTGACTGAACCAATGCAAGCGAGTGTTCTCTTGTAGACTGTCTATGCTTTTTACCGCCTCGCTAAGTAAGGCTATGCATTGTCGCAGAGTCTTCCATTGATGCTTCTACCGGTCGATCACACGGGTCAGGGGCCAGTGGCGCTGTCCCAATTCATGCAGCCAACCTGTCACCTGGTGCTTCCACTCCGTCCTCCATTTTGAAAAAAATAATGAAAAATTAAAAATAACCAAGTGATAGATGATGCACTCAATGTTAAATTTGTTGTTTGTTCTTTACCTGATGCGTTCCTTCGTGTTTTTGTGAAGCATATAACTCTGGAAGTCACGGCTCATGAGATTGATCTCGGTGTTATGGCTCCGTGCATGAGTTCCTGAGCCGCACCGAAAATGACACTTCTCGGAGGGACCGCAACTGCACCTGCACCTCAATCCTTCTCATCCTCCGTATCCCACGCATGCTCGAGCGGGAACTACTTCCCCGCGTCGAGAGTGCGAACAAGAGACGACATTCTGTCGATCACCAATCGTGGAGGTGGCGTTTCGCAGTTTCAGAGTTACATACTCGACCAATCGCAACGGACGTCAACTCGATGTTTCCGTCTGCTCGGGCTCACCGCATGATGGTTCCGTATTTACCCTTTCGTCGCAGCTGTGCTCGATTCCGAGCCGCCGGATCACCATTCGTCATGTCTCCCAATGCCATCCTCCGTCACTCTCCTGATTCAGCCTGAAGGAGCCAGGAAGCAGCGCGGCCTTCCAGGCAAGCCAACGGCGCCAACCTGGCACCTCGCGTGGGATGATTGCCCGATGGGATGTGGTTTGCAGCCATCCAGGTGCCCTACGCACACCACTATGTAGTTGGCTGCAGTGACTGTGGCGCTTTTGCTCGACACCAAGTGTTTTATGTCCGCCAGCTCTGGCGTAGATGATTTGAACATCCCACGCGGGCAAACGTTGGCCAGTGCCAGAACAGTCTCCTACAACCAGACTGATATAGATCTGGTACGAACGTTCCCTGCTGACTGTCTGAGGCTTGCAGTTTCTGCGGGAGTGTAGGATGACAGAACCAAACTTGTGCTCTTCTTCCCATCAAGGTTGTTACCCTTTTTCCCTTCTTGGCATTGGGGTGCTCGTCATATTAGACATGAGCGTCCCTTCGACTTCAAGTCAACCACGCATAGACGGGATAGGAAAGTGAACTCGGCCTTCCGGAAACGAACTGGCGACACCACTCAGAACTTGCTGCTGGCAGCTATGCCTCGGAAAGTGGACTTGAGTCGAGGGCCGGCCCTTCTCTCACTCTCAGTCGGCACAGCCAGCTTTGCCTTCGCGACATGTATAGTACGCTACTGCGTACGCAAGAGAATAAGCAACAATGTCGGGGTGGATGACTATGCCATCGGGGTGGCAACTGTAAGTCAGACTATAAGACCAACAAGGCTTTGGGAGTTGAAGAGACGCTAACAGCCTGAACTGATCCAGCTCATCGCCTTTATTGGGACCATATTCAGTATCATAGAGGGCACAGTGATGAACTCCTCAGCACGGGCTCTTGAATTTGACTTTTTGGGCCAGCCTTGGTTCATGATGGGTGCGACATTGGCCAAGATTTCGATCTGTCTCTTCTTCATCCGGCTAGTCGGCGGTGTCAAGCAGTGGAGGATCCTGCTCGGTGTGATGATTACGTTAATGGCAATTGTTAACTTTGCATTCTCTCTGACCACGAATCTGCAATGTCGACCACTCGAAAAACTCTGGAATCCTACCGTCGATGGACAGTGCTGGGACCCCAATCTGCAACTGGACATCGGCTATTTTCAAGGAGGTACGCCAATTCTATGGTCTGCGTTTGAGAGACAAATATTAATCCGAGACTAGCTTTCTCGGTCTTCTCCTGGCTATTTCTGTCACTTTTTCCTGTCTTGATCGTACGTGACCTGGAAATGCATCGAGCTATGAGATGGCCGTTCTATTTCCTTTCCAGCCTCAGTCTCGTGTGAGTAAATGAGCTTGTGTCTTTTGTCATCGAAGACGAAGATTAACAATCCCATAGCGCCGGCATTTTTGCAACAGCTCGCACATACGAGATCTCCCAAGTCGACAGTGGCGTGTATACTTTTGATACATTCTGCGCTCAACTTCTCGCGATGTAAGTCTCCTCGGGTTGAAGCATGCATGGTCTGCCTCGTATCGATACTAACGAACTGTCGCATAGCCTCGAGCAAAACATCGGCATTGTAGCTGCCAACGTTCTACCCATGGGGCCGCTCTTCTCATCCCGAGCCCGCCGTCTCGACCGCTCGCCACGCCTCCTAAGCCGAACAGGGTCCAACGGCGCCCGCAGCGCTCGCTACAGCACAGACGACTCGTCGTCATCCATCAACATGAAACGGTCCTCGATGCTCGTCATTGAGGGCCCGCGGCGCGTCAGCTTCGATGAGCGCTCTACTGGCCAAGGCTGGCAAGGCAGCACAGACAACGCCCGGAGCCCTAGCCGCGGCAGCAACCGCAGCTCGACGGAGTGGCCGAAGGGCATCATCAAGACGGTCAGCGTGCACGTCGTCGAGGAGGACATCACCGACTACGAGCGGGAGCTGGCAGCCTCCAGGGCAAGCGGCCACACGGTTGAGATGGATTGGGAGGCGATGCTGCGGAGCGGGCCGGCTCGGTAAAAAAGAGGTAGGCAGTTTGCTTGTGTGTATGCCCTTCTGTACTTGTACGTCTTTGGCTGGTTCTGGCGTTTACAAGAGAGGCATGGCGTGTTATTGGATTGGCGGGAATGCATCGGAGCGATCCATTGATTCAGTCATGCATGCGTTCATCCATTCATTACAACGGCGGAACATGGGCGATACCCTGTACGAATAGAGTCAGTGCCTGGTTAGGACTTTTTAGACTGTACTGATAGACGAGTGCGGACTCCATATAGTCACTCTTTTGAATTTCAAGCTCCAAGACTAGGTACCTCACTATTAGTGACGCCAATCTAGTTTGTTGAACCGCGTGTTTGCGGTATTGTTTATCTGCGCCGTTTCTTACGCCATATAACGCCTCAAGCCAAATGACAGAATCCTCCTAGATCCCTCAGATGACTGATTAGATCGGAACGTGCGAGAAGAGGAATGACACTGATTCTCCGTTGTGGGTTCGACGAATGGCCTCCGCAATCGTTGCGCTCACGTCGATGATGCGCAACTTGGGACATTGGTTTACCTTGTCGCCCACCGGTACAGAGTTCGTGATGACAACTTGTGACAGTTTTGACTTGTTCAGGATATCGATGGCATTCCCGGAAAGGATTCCGTGGGTCACGATGGCGACGACCTCGCTGGCTCCATGGTCGTGGACAGTCTCGGCTGCCTTTGCCAGAGTACCGCACGTATCGGCCATATCGTCGATCAAAATAGCAATCTTGTCCTTCACATCACCGACAAGGATCATACGGCTGACCTCGTTTGGCCGAGGTCGCTCCTTGTGAATGAGAGCGAAGCCTGTCTCCAGGCGGTCTGCGGTGGATGTGGCACGCTTGGCACCACCGGCGTCAGGCGAGACGATGACGCACTTCTCGATGGGAAGATTTTCACGGATCCAACGAAGAACAGATGGCTCAGCGTACAAGTTGTCGACTAATACTTGGTAAGCAACAATTGCAAGGTTCCGTGGATCTCGTACGAACCTGGGATATTGAAGAAGCCCTGGATCTGGCTGGCGTGGAGATCCATTGTGATAACATGATTGCAACCAGCAGTTTGGATCATGTTGGCAATGAGTTTTGCGGAAATGGGAGCTCGGCTGCGGTCCTTCTTGTCCTGACGAGCATAGGCTAGACCATGGTCAGCAATACTTCCTTGTATGTGAACATTGAATTCCGTCCACTGAATCCACGGTGTGGGAAGGGGTGCGGTGAGACATACGGAAGTTTGGAAGGACTATAGAACGACAATGATTAGCACAGTAGCCACCTCAGATGGCTCCAACAGGGATCATACCGCAAGTGATCCGCCTCGCGGAGGCGGTCCTGCAAGCATGGGTCATAATGAGGAGCTCCATGAGTCCGTCATTGATGTCCCCAGGGGCAGTCGACTGGATAATGAAGACATCCTCGTCTCTAACTGATTCGCCAATGGTTACACTGGGTACACATCAGCCTCACATGCCTTGAACAAGCTCTTTGAGTCTTCCATCCGAACCCAGCACGCACCTGGTCTCCTGGTTCGAGTAATTGAGGCTCATAGTCTTCGCGATGTCGATTCCCAGCCTAGTATCTCACCAATTAGCCTCATGCTGTGCCTAGTCGTTACACTCGCGTCTTCGTGGGGGTCCATACCGGTCAGCGACCAGCCGGGCCAGAACCGGGTGGCTGTTGCCGCTGAGGAGCTATCGAGTTGACCGTTAGCCGTGTCAGTCCCTTTCCCATCGCAAGGGGATCTTTGCGCACCTTGATCTCGTTCGCCATGTCGCCCATCTTGGAGAGCTGTGGGGGATGGCGGTCACAAAAGGAGCTTTATAAGGGAGGGGCTTTGTCACGCCTCGAATTCGACTGGCTGGAGTGTGTTTCGGCGCGACCTGAAATGGGCGTTCGGTGTAGGCGCAAAATTTCAGCGTGGGGTAGTTGCTGCAAATGGAGGGGTAGATTGTCCGAGGAAGCTGCGCTGTGGTTGCTCTGAGACACCGAAGATTGCCGAAGGTAGGTAGGCAGTTAGCCGTGATATATAATGACAGAAGCCCTTGGGGTGAACCTCTGGTTGCACGGCGGAGGCAAAGCAATGGCCGAGACTCGAGATGAAAAGTTACGGGAGTCAAATCGCGAGGCTGCTCCGGTAGTGGAGTCACAGTCCGGTCCCGTCCCCAGGAAAAATTTAATAGCCCGTCATTGCCCGCCAGTTCGTTCGTCACCGGCCTGACAGCCATACTAGCAGCTGGCGGCCAGCTGGCTACAGTGGACGGTGCCCCCTTTGCGTTGAACCAAGATTCTGTGTTGGCCTAATCGTGTCTACTGGGTCAAAATGGCTATGAATACAAAAGATGATCCGTAAGATTACCGATGACTGCGATGACCGGGAGCTTATAGGTATTAAAATAAAGATCCAGACATGATGATTATGAGCACATTGTGTTTTGCAAGAACGTGAATATACCTTGAAGTAATGTATTGATTCACTCCCGCCCCATTTGGATCTATGTTCTCAAGACTCCTTCAAGGTGCTTCTGTGTATTAACAAGAGAAAGCACATTTGAAGAAATATATTATATTCCCTTGTCTCCAGGGCAGGGCGTGATTAACTGTTGTATACTGGAGCCAAGGTGCCTACCTAATTGTAAAGTTAAGCATATCTTAGTTTCTCTCATCAGAGTCTCATCATTCGTGTTTAATATTTTCGATTTATTTCAAAAGACTGAGTAGAATGATTGTTTGTGCAAGCAGAATCTGGCTGTCAGTATAGAGAATATTAGTGCAGCTGTCGTTTGATTGTTGATAGTGAGCATCTGAAAAAGCCTGAAGAGCCACCCACTTGTGAGGATTGGCTTCTAAGCGTCTTCTACCTAGGTAATACACTCCTCCAACACACAGGGCAATGCCACTTCGCATTTATTGTTCCTAGAGAGTCAACAGTCACAAAGCGGGCAAGAATAAACGAATTTAGTTGGCACACAAGCCACAGCAAGCATCACCAGCCTCATCGCCGCTTTTACGGCAGGTTGAGCTGAAGCTTCTAAGCTGGTTCAGCTGACAGCGTGTGCTTCGCAATGTGGGATGCTTGGCGCCGACAGAAGTGCCGACCAAGACCCGGAGGCTGCCGCAGGGGCACCGTACATAGTGGCCTGACTCCTGCAGCGCTGCACCGCCGCATTTCCGCAGCGCCGTTAGAGCATCGAGTCGTACAGCAGCATGGCAAGCCACGCGTTAGTGCAGGCTTGCAGGATCGTCTCCAATGGTCTATGAAATCCATTATGCAGTGTTGCATCACTAACCCACCGGTGAGGCTGCTATTGTGTTCCAAACAATGCTGTCTGTGCTTGATTTCCGTTCGCCCATAGATGGGGAATGGCTATGCAGGGAAGTGTGGAGTAGTGTCCCAGATCCGATGGAGACTGACTCGTCGCCAAGCCGAGTGGTGGGTGCGGCATCGTTGTGAAGCTAAAAAGCAATGCGTGAGTGCTTAATCTTTGAAGCTATTTGCGGTTATGTAACCTTGCTCGAGCGTATAGTATAGCTTCTTCCCCGCAATTTGACACTATTTAATGCAGATCTTGGAGTTGGGGTGCATTTGTGAGGGTGAGGGCGTCCGGTAAAGCGAGAGGACGCTCCGCGGGCGTCTTTCGATCCATCATCGACGCCTCGGATCTGGGGATCTCGCTCCAGCGGAGATTTCATAGGTCAATGCCGTAGTCACTGCCGTTAAAGCATTCTGGGACAGGGGTATAGGATGCAAAAAGGCAAGTCTTTGAAGAAGGGGCATGTGTTGATTTGATGGGTTTCAGTGCATCAAACATGTCCTAATTTGGTAATTGTGAGGAAGGCATCGGAGGTTTGCAACACCCTCAATAAGACGGGCTGGAGGAAGCGTCAGATTCGGCGACCGGCGCCGTTCGATTTGCGGTGTCGATCCAGACGGGAGCCAAAGACGGGCCTCGAATAGGAACACCAGGCAAGCAGGGCACCGACAAATGACTGATACTCCGTGGCGGGACGTTTGAACCAGTCGTATCTACCTACAGGAGCCTTACGACTAGAGACGAGTGCACTTCGTATCATAGTATCATCAATCTGCTGGTCTGGTCCAATATTATGGTCCAAGACCGTAAACATGCCACGGCTGTACGGCGCTGTCCGGCGTCGGGGGCCAGACTAGGCTGGATCATGAACTTCTAGAACGAGCGCAGACGGCTACCGCGATTGGCCCACCCCCAATGAGGCCCCTGTAAGATCTGGTCCCTGTTGGCCTTGTCGACCAGTATCAGGCACTCTAGACCCGGTGGAGATAAGAATGGCACTGCCTGAGTCGGTGATGTACCCATTGTAAGCATGACAGGCTCAGGGAACACCTGCTGGTAGGTCGGCGTGGCATAGGCCGAGAAAATTCCATCGGACGTTCTATGGCGCTTTTCGAGATCTGCCAGTTTTTCCCATTCCATCAGAATCATGAGCTTTGTCGGTGGGAATCTCCTGCCCACGCTCCCAGAGCTCCATTCACTCCCCTGCAACGGCGGGATTCCTGGCGTTTCCTAGCCGCAGATGGGCCTATTGTAGCGCTGTTCGAGATACGGCTGGGGCGATTCATGAGGTAATTCAACACCGCTTCTTCCTGGCCGGATGCGGCGTACCGAGTCTACCGACAAGCCACAGCCATGCTCCTAAGATTGCCCCTACCCACCAGAGCTCCATTGCCCAGGGAATCCTGCCCCTCCCCTCCTGTTGCCGGGTACACCTGTGCCCTGAAGGACAGTTCCTTAGCTCCTAGCCGTCGCCCTATGCGGGGTTCCTGTCTCCCGTCTGTCCATGTCCAAGGGACCCTGCGATTAGCGTTTGGAGGCGCTGAGGGGTACTGTAGCATGCTGCATGCGGGCGCATTGTGAGCCATAGAATGCTGTTTCCGTTGCCCCAGAGAGGACCTGGGGATGAGGGGAACAGCGCAGGCATGGCACTTGAATGGAGACCGAAATGGATCGGATCCGATGCAGGACGCAGGCAGACAGGGAAGATGCGCGAAAATAACTGACTAGGAGACAGACAGACTGAGGGATTAGACAGATTAGACGAAACAGGAGGAGGGGAGAAGCTCGTGTGGAGTGTCTGCAGCAGGCCCAGGCGTACGGGCTGTGGGCGTGGGCTTAGCTGGCGTGTAAGTGTAAGAGTGGGTGGGTGTCGAGATCATCGAGAATCAGATCATACGTTTTGCTGGGCGTCTGAAAATCTTGCCTACGCATCACCAGACAATCCTCACCACCTCTCCAGCTCCCGGCGTCACCTTAAGTCGCACACTACTCGGCTGCAGGGCCGCGCCTTCCTCTAATTCAAGCAAGCTTTGCTCTCTCGCCTCTGCGTCACCGTCACTCGTCCCTTCCTCGATCGCTATTACTTAAACGTATCCTATCCACGCCCCCACCCAAGCTCATCCACCCCCTTTCGCCCATCATGAACTGTATAAGAACATCCCCAAGCCGCCTCCTGGCCCTCAATAGATCTCCTACTTCTTCTCTCATCACAAGAGCTTTCTACACCTCAATGACCAAGCACTCTCACAGAGCCGCATCACCAGCAGCCACATATCAACACCGCAGCAAGCGTCAAGAAACCACCATGACCCAAGTCCAGATCCCAACCGAGCAGTGGGCTCAGGTCGTCGAGAAGACCGGCGGACGTAAGTCTTACCTAACCAACCCGATCCCCCTTCAATCACCTCACCACCATACCCCCTCTTCTGCGCTCCTGCGTGCCCGTGGAACAGCACTTACACAGCTCATCTACCACACGCATGGCCAGGAGAGGAGGTCTGAGGAGGTGTGCAAACCTTATGCAGAGCTAGAGAGGCTAACACGCACCCCGCAGCCGTTGTCTACAAGAAGATCCCAGTACAGCAGAAGCCCGGTCCCGATGAGGTCCTGGTCAATGTCAAGTACTCTGGTGTGTGCCACACCGATTTGCACGCCATGTTGGGCGATTGGCCCCTGGCGACCAAGTTACCCCTTGTCGGTGGCCACGAAGGCGCTGGCGTCGTCGTCGCTCGCGGCGATCTCGTCACAGACGTTGAGCTTGGCGACCATGTCGGCATCAAGTGGCTCGGCGGCTCATGTCTGGCCTGCTCTTTCTGCCAGCAGGCAGACGAGCCCCTTTGCCCCCACGCTCTTCTCTCCGGCTACACCGTCGACGGTTCCTTCCAGCAGTACGCCATTGCTAAAGCAGCCCACGTTGCCCGTATCCCCAAGGAGGTCTCCCTAGAGGCCGTTGCCCCAGTCCTGTGTGCCGGTATCACGGTCTACAAAGGCCTGAAGGAGTCCGGTGTCCGCCCAGGACAGTGGGTCGCCATCGTCGGTGCTGGCGGTGGTCTCGGCAACATGGCCATCCAGTACGCCAAGGCCATGGGTCTGCACACGATCGCCATCGACGGCGGTGCTGAGAAAGGAGCTGCTACCAAGGCTCTCGGCGCCGAGGCCTACGTTGACTTCACAACCTCCAAGGACCTGGTTGCCGATGTCAAGGCCGCTACTCCCGATGGCACTGGCCCGCACTCCGCCATCCTTCTCGCTGTCTCCGAGAAACCCTTCCAACAGGCCGCCGACTATGTCCGACCACGTGGCTCAGTCATTTGCATCGGTCTCCCAGCCGGCGCCAGACTCTCTGCGCCCGTCTTCGACACCGTCATCAAGATGATCTCGATCAAGGGCAGCTACGTCGGTAACCGACAGGACACTGCCGAGGCTCTCGACTTCTTCGCCCGTGGTCTGATCAAGGCACCATACAAGGTCATCGGCCTCAGCGAGCTCCAGAGTGTCTACGACATGATGCACGCCGGCAATGTCGTCGGTCGCTACGTTGTCGACAACAGCCGATAAAGCAACTGTCTGCCTAACGAGCTTTTGTTGCAAGCGAGTGAATGAGATTATGAGTTTTCCAATCGGAATGGGTAGCTGATGGAGTTCCGGCTGATGGGTTATTAATCGTCCATGTTTTGGAAACCAATGAAAGGGACCTAGAAAGTGAAGAGGGGTTGAAAATAGGTTACCCATGTACAAAAAGCTACACAATTAACAATTATTGTTACAACCATCTATCTTGATCCCACTTGTTCTGTGAATGAACTGATGAAACTGAGAATTGTTTGTGCATCTTACGTCGTTTTCGGATTGTCAAAATTGCCGCCTATATAAGGGATGATTTTTGGGCATGCTCGTATATGTACACCCTAGCCAGCAATCCTACCTAGAAAACACAAGTCATTCTACTTTGATCAGATCCATGCAACACCAATAACACTAGGCAGGTACATCATGTCAACCTAATTGAATAGGCAGAGAAATGAAGGAATTGTGTATAAATCACCGTTTGAGAGCACATAATGCTTCGGCAGTCCTGTATGCTAGAAATTCGACAATTCCCTTCGTTCCCAAGTAGTTCGTTGTTTTCACCACTCCGATTCATTTCCCTGGCCTCATAGTAAAAACAGTTGGGCAACGATGACCTCTGCAACATCGCAGCCGACCGGTGCTCCCACGACGTTCATCATCTCTCCGGAGTTGAATCTGTCTGAGTATAATCTCTCTATCCCAGAATACCTCGCCGTCCACCCGTCCGTTCACCGTGTTGGAGCAAGCGTCATCGTGTTTCACGGGCCCCGTATGCTGCTCATCAGGAGAGCACCGCACGACTTTCTGCCCTTGAAGTACTTACACCTCCTCCCTGCCCCATTCGCAGATATAAGGCCATACTAATATAGACCAAAAAACCAGATGGGAGGTCCCCGGCGGCGCCACAGAGCACACGGATGCTACACTGCTGCACGCGGGCGCCCGCGAGCTGTGGGAGGAGGCCGGGCTGCGCATGGCGAGCGTGCGGCGGTGCGTAGACGCGACCCGGGGGTTCGTCGACGGCGGGAAGCGGTGGCGGTTGATCACGTTCGAGGCGGAGGTGGACGGGGGAGACGGCGAGGCGCCGCCGCCCGTCACACTCGACCCGGAAGAGCATGTAGCGTATCTGTGGGCGACGGAAGAGGAGGTGCGCGCTCGCCGGTGTGGGGACGTCGAGCTGGATTTTGCGTTCAAGGAGTTCGCGGATATGATCATGGGTGCCTTTGAGGAGAGGAATCGGGGGAAGAAAGTAGACTCATAATCTCAACCGTGATGTTCTGCATCGTGAAGAGACATGTACGTAGTTGCCAAACTTTTGGGTCAACTTAGAATAATCTCAGCAAAGGTCAAATTCAAGCAGCTCGACAAAATCACTGTCACATGTACAACGTATTGGCTGCCTTGAAGCGTCTTGACATTTCTTTTCCTTGTAACTAGGCTCCGTCCAACGCTGCTTTTCCTTACATAAATGGCTTTTCTAGCACAAACCAAAGCCGCCTTGCCGTTATCATGCCTGTTCTTTCTACGACCCGCCAGGACCTCCCAAGAGCGCAAATCTTCGTACGATACCAGGTCCATATTCTTGATACTGTAGACTAATTAGTTGCGGCTCAATGAGTTTGCTGTATTTCACATACCTCTGCCTTTGTGTGGCAGTACGACTTGAATTCCGGTGTTTGTCCAAGCAGAGAACCTCCGAACCAAGGACCGTGCCTTTGCCTCTTGTGTGTGATGACCTGAACCTCTAGACCACCACTCTTTGCGCCACCGCTACGGACCTCACTAGCCCGGATTCTAGCATCCACTAGCTGCTTGATATCCCTCTGTAGTCTGCGTCCGAAGTCTTTGTACAAGGTGCTTCCGCCAGACAGCACAATATTCTTGTACAGGCCCCGACGCACATCGATGGGCGAGGACTGGATGACACCGTCAACGACAACCGGGAGAGGCGTCAGGAAATCGGAGGAGTAGATTTCGGGATTGAAGAAAATCTCGGGGGCCAAGAAACGCTCGTATCCAACATCCACGCTGACCTGCCTACCACCGGGCTGTGTGACACTGTGCTTAACGAAGCGCGTAGGGTCGCGGTCGTAGCGGGAGAACTCCTTGACGATATCCGGGCAAACATATGCGTACTCCTCCTTGATCTCCTGAGCAGTTTTCAGAGAAGAATCAGGCTCGCCTCGATCACGAAGTAGCGATTGAACGAAGTAGGTGATATCGCGACCTGCTATGGGAATAGACTTGATCGAAGATCCGATCACATAGCCCTCTGCTACTGGAATGACGTGGGTGACACCGTCTCCCGAATCAATGACTGTACCAGTCAACGATCGATCCTGCACCTTGGACGATGTCCATGAGGCTGCGAGAGCAAGCACTGCTTGGACGGCAATATATAGGCCGGCACAGTTGAATGACTCGAAGAAGATTTCGGCGGTGTTCTCGCGGTTCTCGGGCGGGTTCAGAGGCTATGAAGTCGTCAGCGTCATCCTTTGAAAGAGTTCCGACATTCCTCACCGGCTCGGTGAGTAGGAAATAGTGATCCTCCGGCTCTACCCTCAGGTATTTGAAGATGGAATTGGACCAGAACCGTTCCATATGATCCTGCATGATCATCAGCACAAAGTTGTAGCGCTCCGATCTTTCGAGTACGAACCCAATTCTCTATTTGTCCATGTCTGATGGGGTAGTGAAGACCATAACCTGAGATATTAGCATCCCGCCTTGTGCAGTCGGCACGGCTCCGAGCTTACCAGGACCGTTAGCTGCCGAAAGAGCCTCATCACCGATAAAGAAGTCTAGGTCTTCGGTGCCTCGCTTCGAGTTGAGATGTCCCGTGGGCCCAGCGCCGCCAGTCAGAAACGATGGCTTGTTTGCAACAGCGGGACGTCCAGAGCCCGCACTTCCGGCGCCACCTGCTGGGCCCTTGGTCGCAATCGCAGTCGGAAATACGAAGGATGGAGAGTCGTTACCGGCGAAACCTAGATGCGTGCGCAAGTTAGCGAGGCACCCAAAGAGAACCTTTTGACGCCCTTCAACGAGTTCATACCTAGCTTTGAAAAACCCGTGCCGCTGGAGATCAGAGAATGTTAGCGATCGTATACTAGAGATGTGGAGGTGACGACAGCACCCGCCCCCCAGCTTCGTAAGCGGGGTTAGTGTCGGGCTATCAGGAGAACGTACTTGTCCATGACAACGGCAGGAGTTTGGCTAGCCATGATGAAAGAGGTTGGAGCTTCGCAGAGCTCCGGGGTCTCCTATCACGATCTGTCGCGGAAGTTGTAAGATGAAGGAATTTGGTGGGGTTGATGCTGATGGTGGTGATGGTGGGAGTTGACCTGGAGGTCGGGCCAAATTACGTTGCGTGCCTGCTCAGCCAAGCTTCAACGTGCGGCTGTGCGTCTGGTAGCCCCGCTACGGCTGGCGGAATCGACCAATGATGCAGCTTCGAGCTTCATGCTTGTCTCTATTAGTTCTCTTGAAGCTTCAACTGAACAACCTCGTGCTCTTACACTCTAACAAGTCTCACCAAGATGTCCAACATAAATCCTCTTGATGTGTCATGAATATAGCTTAGATTTCCTCTGAATTGAGCGTTAAGATTGGACTTGACGCCGCAATCGCCCTTTCATCAAGTCATATACTCCTCTCTCAATAACTGACAGGACAGAATCGAGGCCATCATGGATGGAAGGCACGTTTTGCCCTTCCTCTTGCCCTTGCCGCCTTCTACTTTAAGCGCCTCCGCAGACAACTCATAGACTTGATGCCGGAGGAATTGCTCTACCTAGGCCCCAAACTTGGAAGCAGCTCCCACTCTGGCATTTGAATCCATCCTACAATAATTTCCTCCGATATACCTATGCCGTTTGCTCAGCATTCGATATCATCTCTCACAGATATTTGCCTCTTCTCCAGCGAAGGCAGTATCAAACACCTCAACAATCTTATTGTGCATTTCTTTTGACCCATGAGACTCACATCTTGCTCTAAGGTCTGACAGCATCTTTAATCCACTCCTGCTCTGCCTCCTGCTTTGTTTAAGCCCACGCAGACAACAATAAGATCCTAGGAGCATACGCCTTCACAGGCTTTCGACAAATTTCGATAACTTCTTATTGAAAGCCAACGAGTGAAATTTGGAGGAGCTTCATGTGTGTTTTGGTGCTTTGAAATTTTGGCGCCTTCAGATTTCCCGGCGCGTCCTGCGACAACACCTGTGCCTTGTTTAGGTTGCAAAGTCGCTCTCCATGACAGAACACCACACGGATGAGCTGCACCTCGTCCCGACCTCCTCACTCAAAAATCTTTCACGACTTAGCTCACCCGGCCCTATAACGCAAGACTCACCACTCCTCCTCGCAGATCTCCATATTGATGATCAGACCGACGACAGTTCAACGACAATGGACTCCCCAGCAGATGGCCACGAATCGTCAGACGGCAGTGCTTCATTCGAAGGCTTCACCTCTAACTCTCCAATATCAGCCACAGGTGTTGATGGAACAGTCGATAAAGTGCTAAAGCATGGAAGCAAGCGCCCAGTCACTGCCATTTTTGTTCATGCTGGAGCCGGCTACCACAGCGTCCAGAATGAACAGGTCCATCTACAGGCATGCTCCGAGTATGTCCTCGCCAAATGCATTCTAATCAGGGAAGTAAGCAGCTAATGATCACAGTGCCTCCCGAATTGCCATGCAGCTACTCAAGAAAGGATGCACAGCTGTCGAGGCCGTGGAGATAGCAGTTCGAATCCTCGAGGACAAGGAAGTCACAAACGCCGGCTTTGGAAGCAACCTCACTGAAGATGGCAATGTTGAATGTGATGCAACTATTGTTGATCACTTGGGCCGAAGTGGTGCTTGTGGTGCTGTGCCAAGTAAGGTCCTGTAGACCGTTTGATATCTTACCAAGCTTATTTTGCCCCAGACATCAAGAATCCAGTTTCATTGGCGAAGTTGATATTGGACCACAGTGCCAAGCCGATGTCACTGCGACGAGTGCCGCCCAACATCCTCGTTAGAGATGGGGCGAAGGAGTTCGCTGTCGAGCACGGCATGGCTGCCATCCCAAACCAATATCTTGTGTCAAAGAACGCCAAGCACCGGTACGAGCAGTGGAGCGAAGATCTCTCCAAGGCCGCAGAGCAAGAGAAGAAGGCCAAGCATCGTGCCTCGTCTGGAGGACGGCCGTTGTCTCCTGATGACGCAGAGAAGGTCACGGAGCAGAAATATCCGCACCTATCGAGCCATCTTGGTGACCATATCAACGCCATACTCACAGGCACCTGGAACGAAGGCCAGGCAGACTCTCCCTCACACAGCTCACCTGGTGAGAACGGAGAATCGCCTACGACCCCGGGCATATCCTCACGGCCTCCAACCTCAGTCCGCCAGGAAACCCCTACCGAAGCTGGAGACAATGGAAACCCACGTAGCCCTATTGACGCTCCTCAACGCCGATCGCCAACGCCAGTTACTAAGCGAGCGAGGGTTTCCTCCCACCAGAACGATGAGCCCGTGCTCTTTACTGTAGCTTCCACCGCGACTCAGACGGCGCCGTTGATTAATTCCAATCATGATGGATCTGTAAGCTCTGTAGAGAGTGATTCAAAGGATACAGATGCACCACAGGGCACCAAACGCTCAGCGGAAGCGCTGGAGACACAGCCCGTCGACCTATCGTTCAGAGTCGGCCAACAAGACCTCATCACAGATACTGTGGGAGCTATTGCGATTGACAAGCTGGGAAACATTGCAGCTGCATCTTCATCTGGCGGTATCGGAATGAAGCATAGCGGTCGAGTCGGACCGGCTGCTCTTGTTGGCATTGGAACTGCTGTTCTTCCCGTAGATCCCGACGATCATGACGGGACTACGGTGGCGGCAGTGACCAGTGGCACAGGAGAGCATATGGTCCCAACCATGGCTTCATACAAGTGCGCCGACCGGCTGTACAATAACACGCGTCGTGGGCCTCGCGGCATAGACATTGAGGAGTTCGATGAAGAGGCCATTATGGATTCCTTTATCCTCGACGACTTCATGGCACATCCGGGAGTGAAGAACCAGTTCTCTGCTGCGGCTATTGGCGTAATGGCCGTCAAGAAGTCTATCCGCGGCTATTATCTCTACTTCTCCCACAACACCGATTCTTTCGCACTGGCATCGATGTCATCCAAGGATCAAGAGCCATTGTGTGTCATGTCTCGACTCGGAGAGATTCGCCACGCCCCTGCCCATGGGGCAAGAAAGATTTCCATCGACTAAATCGCCTCACCTAGGAAACTTCAACACGATTGTATAATACACAGGATAGAGCCATACCCCTATAGACCAGGAGTTTTAGGCTTTCAGATAGATAGAAGGGGTTTGTGCAATTCAGGCACATTTGACAGCGTCGCTGGTCTGAGGCATCCAGATTGAACAAATGAAAATCGGAGGACTCTTTGAGTCCTGCAAAGACAGTTTTCAATGAGGCGCCTACTCTAATACACATAGAGCACACAGAGACATAGTTCATAAGGGTATATTTCCCTGCCTGATAGCTATCCTTGCCATGCATTTTGTGACCCAGAGTGTGGCCCATACATATGATGTTTTCCCCTGGACAAGAAATTCCATTTGTCCAATCCATTCCACCCTTTGACGCCTTGCTTACTATAATTCTTATGATCATACAGTAGTCTACATGCTTTCTTTCCGGAGAATTTCTCTTTGACTCTTTTATCAAGTGTAACATTTCCATTAATCTCACCCTGGTCTCGGCGTGCCCGTTGCACTCCCCGTTTCTTCTCTTCCCTCGCCGTTGATGCCCAACCGCCTCTTCTTCTTCTTTCTCTGCCGTGGCACCACGGCCGGCTTGGCACCATAGCTGCCCAGTGACAGCTTCGTCCCGCACGTCAGGCACTCCGCATTCTCTGGCACCTCGCAGAAGATGCTCAGGCAAATACTGCACACGAACCCCGTGTCGACTACCCTGCGGTGACAGAAACACGCCGCTCGAAAGTCCACCACGTCCGTCGACGGGCTGACTAGCTGGTTGAGACTGGCCTCGTCCCTCGCGCCTCCCGTGCCCGTCCCCGCGCCGCCTGCCGTTGGCGCCGACGAGGAGGCGAACCCGAACATCAGGTACGACAGCAGGCCCTGCGGCTCCTTGGCCTCGAGGAAGGTGCCCCGCGTGATGAAGCTCGCCTGCTGCAGGAAGGTGGCGGAGCCGCGCAGGGCCAGCGTGTCGATGGCGATGCCGGCGTGGGCGGCCGCGAAGACGGCGTTCATGGTGGGTATGTACTGCGATGCGGCGCTGTCGGACACGCTGACGACGAGGATGCGTGCGTGCAGGCCGGCTAGGGCTCCCGTGTCGGCGGTGACGGTCGTGGGGTTGTTCGCGGAGGGGACGGACTTGGTTGCGGTCAGGGCGATGGACGCCTTGTTGATGTGACTGAGGGCGAGGGTTAGGGCGCCGGAGATCTGGGTCGTGGTGGTGAACAGGTCAGACTCGGTGGTGGCGGTGATGAGCTCGCGGAGGGACTTGAGGAGCGAGTTCTCAATCTCGGCGAACTGGGGGTACTTGTTGGCGGACTGCCGCTTCTGCTTCGGTGCAGGAGCATCCACGTCCGTCATCTCAACATCTTCGGAAGTCTTTGAGGATTTTTTTGCTTCTACAGGGTTTGGATACAGCCATACTGCACGGTTTGTGTGGGATGCTATTATAGCGACCGAGTTGGCGTTGCTGAAGGCGAGGTGTGAGTTTACGAAGACGAGGATGTTGGCGATGGCCTTGGAGATGGGCAGGACATTGTTAATGGCAGCCCATGCCCTGGGATTTGTGTCGAGGATGATGGTGCATAGCGAGGGAGTCTCCTCGGTGGTGTAGATCTCGTAGTGGCTGGTGGCATCGACAGCATCCATTGTGGACCCCTCTGCTGCCGGCCATTCGAGGTTGTAAAGGTGGAGGGGAAGTCAAGGGAATATTGATGATGTGACGATGCTCACTCAACTTTTGAGCTTGCCTGGCTAGTCTATCCTTGGAAGAGCTTCATAGTGGGACCGTGCGTCAGCGCCCCTGCCGGCAGCCTGCCAGCAATCATTAGTGAGAGATGCCGCGGAAGTTTCAGCGCTACTGCGGCCCACACGTGATGACACTTGGGCGGTTAGCGGGACCTTGCCCCTCCAAAAGGTTTGTTCTCGGTCGAGTTATTTATAAGGCACACCCCTACCTAGCACAAGCTGTGGTGTGGAGGGGCAGCGGGAAGTGAGCAAAAAGAAACACATGCCACCTTTTCTTACATGTAACATAGAGCATATTTCGACACGCAAGCTGTGAGACGCCACCAAATAAGGGCCCGTTCAAGAGAGGCGAGGGTTTCATATATATTTAGAGACCGTCTCCCCGCCTGAGTTCCTAGGGCATCTTTTTTTCTCTCAATTTTCCCATTTGCATCTCATTCTCCGTGGAGCTAGCGCAATGGAGACTGTCATTGAGACCGGAGGCAAGAAGCTGGAGGAGCTCGGGAGGGAGGACCAGACTCTGCTGCTGTTTGCGCGATTAATGGAAGGAGGGCAAGAAGACGACGAAACATGCAGCGAGCTGGACAAGCTGACGAAGCTTCTGAGTGATGATCTGGATGCAACAAAAAAGGGCGAGGAGTCGATATGTAAAGTCATCGACGGAGACTGTGTCGACACTTTCGTCTGCTACCTGGACATGAGGCAGACTGAGGTCGTCCGGGGCCACGCCACGCTTTTGACATCTGCATACCTCAAGGCAGCAGGAGACGACGGATCGAAGAAGCTTTCAGAGTTCTTCTATGCCAGAGTGAAGAGGGGCACTTACGATGACTACATCGTCGCTTTTTGTGTGGCGGCCGCCATATTTCCAATCGTCCCGGATCTGACTTCCGAACTGTTCCTCAGCGAGGGATTTCTCTCCAGCCTCGGGCCGCTTATGAGGCGGAAGTGGAAGAGCAGGAAGGTCGAAACGGCATGCCTTGAGATGCTGAACGCCGCATGCATGAATACGCCATGCCGAGAAGCTGTACAGAAATACTGTGCAGAGTGGTTAGAGGAGATCGTCGACCAAGATGTCAACGACGCAGTCAAGATGTACACATCCGATCCGGATGTTCAGATCACAGAAGGCTCGATATCTATGCGGAGGCATTCGGAGCAGGTTCAACACCTGGCAGCAGTCATCTTGACCAAGATAAGGGTTAGCCATCCTACCAATGCCGCGCACTCTCCTGTACCAGTCATTGGCCCAGCCTAGAATGTCTCACTGACACTCAGGCCGCAGGCAGTACAAGCACCGCCTGCGCCCGGACAAACTGAAGGGCGGATTCAGCAGGCCAGTACGAGCATTGAAGAGCTGTCGAAAATGTTCACAGATATGCTTTTGAAGGATCCGGAGCATACGCGAAATAACTCCGTGGAGGGCTTGGCTTATGCCACCCTACAACCAACAATCAAAGAGGAAGTCGCCAAGAACAAAGATTTGCTCAAGAGTCTTGTGCAGACTTTGAAGGACGCACCGCCAAAGTCACCGCTCACGTACGGAGCTCTCAGTATATTCGTCAACCTCACTCGCTATCAGCCAACCCAGTCGGAGGAAGAGAAGAGAATGAATCAGCTCAAGGCATATGCAAATGCTGCAGGGAAGATAGCACACAACCCTCTAAACGACAACGACCATGTCTCTGAACGATGCAAGCGGGTTTATGAAGCAGGCATCACCCCAGTACTAGTATCACACAGCAAGAACGGTTCAGTCGCCTCACTATCACTTATTATAGCCGTTATCTACTCCCTCTCCATGACACCAAGTCTCCGTGGTCAATTGGCTCAGCAAGGAGCTGTCCGCCTCCTGATAGCGGCATGGACCGCCCTGCCGGAAAGTGAGAATCAGTCACGGCGGGTGGCCGCCCAGGCCCTGGCACGCATTCTCATATCGACAAACCCGTCTCTTGTCTTTGGAGGGACTCGCCCCACTCCTCAAAGCGCAGCCATTCGACCTCTCGTGTCCATTATCGCGCCAGATCCGAACGCTGAAACACGCGATCTTCTTCCAACATTTGAGGCGCTCATGGCCTTGACTAACCTTGCCTCTACCGATGATGATACCCGGCGCAGCATTGTCCGGACAGCGTGGGCCGACATAGAAGATCAGCTGCTCTCTTCAAACCATCTTGTCACCAAGGCAGCGGTAGAGCTCGTGTGCAACTTGGTGCAAACCGTCGATGCCATGGCCTTGTACGCCGATGGCAGCGTCAAGGCCCGCGACCGGCTACACATCCTGGTTGCGCTGGCCGACGCCGAGGACGAAGGCACTCGGAGCGGTGCAGGAGGTGCACTTGCCACACTGACAGGCGTCGAAGATGTCGTCAGGGCCATCGTGGCCCGCGACAGGGGCGTGGAGATTGTACTTGGCTTGTGTGCCGACGACAGCGAGGATCTCAGACATAGAGGAGTTTTCGTACTTTACAATATGGTGTCTGCGGAGGGCGAGGCGGGTAGATTGGCCAGAGAGAAGATCAAGGCTTCCAATGGCATTGAGATATTAACCGAGAGCGCGAAGAAGAGTAGACGGCCAGAGGTGTTGGATGTGACTGTCCAAGCACTCAAGGCACTGATTGAAGAAAATTGATAGAGGGAATGCATGGCATATTGAACAAGTCACATGGGTGGGCTTTCATGGCTTGGAGGGAATGGTCAAAATTGTCGAGTGCTCGGTCATTGCAGGGTGTTATGTTATATTATCAGGGTAGCAGGAGCCTCCATGGCGTATTCTCATTATTGAGCTTTCTTTTAGCTACCTGTTATAGGAGCGACATCCCCTCAACCCAGTATCGCAGCCTTTGCATTACCGAAGTAGCAACAGCCAGAGTTTTAAGTCTAGGTTGGGGCACCGGGCGGTGACCATCGAACGAGCTCCTAGCTCTCGACTCGGTTTAGCACCGCTACGCCTTCAACATGTCCCGTCTGAGGGAAGAAGTCGAACCCACGTAGGCTCTCGATCTCATATCGCGTACCACCGATAGCCTTTTCCTCGCTGCTACCAGCGCCACCGTCGACCTCGCCCCTGACCAGCACGCCGACATCTCGCGCCTGCGTATGCACGTTGCAGCTGACGTACAGAATACGCTTGGGCCCGAAGCGCAGCAGCTGGCTCAGGAAGCTGGCGTCACAGCCCTTGCGCGGCGGATCGAGCACGACCACCGTCTCATCGGGGTCGTACGTGACGCTCTTGAACAGCTCGGGCGCGTCGGCGGCGATGAAGCGGCACTGCTCCTCCTTGAGGGAGTTGAGCGCGGCGTTCTTGCGCGCAAAGTCGATGGACTTGTCGGCGATATCGATGCCGACGCTGCCGCCGGAGAAAAGCGAGGACAGTGTGATGGTGAAGAGGCCCGAGCCGGAGTAAGCGTCAATCAGGTAGCGGATGGGTTTGGCGTCTGGTGACTTGGACGGCGGAAGGGCTTGGGAGCGGACGTAGTCTGTAAAGGGAGACAGGATGGAATTGTTGTTCTGGAAGAAGGCGCCCGCCGGGTTGGTGAAGACGAAGTCGTCGATATACTCGGTGGACACGGCGTTGTTATCGGTGATGCACGACTTGATGTCGGTATACTTGTCCGTCTCTACTAAGACGGAGTGGGATGGTATGGTCTCCGATAGCGCTGGGACTGGAGCCTCGGTATCGCCATTTGCAGCTGCTTTAGGGATGCGTTTTGTGTCTTCTCGTAGTAAGATGGTGGCACCTCTCTCATATTTGCCAAACTCGGCAGCCATCCGCTCTCGCTCTCGTGTCAACCCTCTCCGCACTGCTTCAGTACCAATCGGACAATCCTCGATATCCATGGTTTTCCTTGACCCCTTTAGCATGAAGCCAAAGTCTGGCTTCTCTGCGAAACGCCTGTTCTTATCGCGTTTACCTCCTGGCGGACCATCAAAGTGCGGCGTCAGTTTCGTGCGGTAATTGTACTGCAGCGGACTGCCAATGGTGTCTAGTATCTGAGGGACCAGCTCAGGCGGCAGCTGGGAGAAGTTGCGGTATGCCTTCTCCACGATCCTCCGCTTGATCTTCAGTTGCTCTGCATAGTCGAGCATCTGGAATTGACAGCCTCCGCATTTGGTGAAGTACTTGCACTGTATCCGGCTGTCGTCTCGGAGAGGCGACGGCTTCGTTACTGATATGAAATCTGCGACGGAATACTGCTCTTGAGTTAGATGGCGATATGCCTTCACCTTGACAGTGTCGCCCGGCACTGCGAATGGCACCACGTAGATCTGATTTGAACCTGGCTGTCGCGCCAAGGCATCACCGGTTGATGACAGTTCCACAACTTCGACCTCAATCTCACTACCGGGTTCAGGCAGACTGTTCTGGGCCTCTTCCTGTGACGGCGCTTCGGTTCCATCTTCTGAAAGCTTCTGAGCTGCCAGCATAGACTGAATATCTGCAAGCAAGATCTCCTCATGAGAACCCTCCTTCACGGGCTTCTTCCTCTGCTTTCTGAACCTCTTCTGGTGCGGGCCTCCACCATTTGCACGTGGTCTCTTGCCGTGCATATTTTTGGTGTCTTGCCTCGATGAGGCAGGCTCCACAGGAGCTTGAGCCTGTGAGACGGCAGCTGATGCCATGGTTAACGCCCTTCGTGCCCAAGACGTTGTTGAAATGTTCACCTGATGTCGAGATACGAATGATGACACCGTCAATTTTGGTACGTGTCTGAAGATGCTGGTTCGCATCGAAACTCCACCCAGGATGTTTGTTAGACAATTATATTTAAGCTGGGAGCTATTTCTTGAGTCGGGCAGTCCGAATCAGAGTCTGCAAAATCCCACAGCCAGTCATCATTCTTGGATTTGCGACGGCGTGGCACCTTGAATTTGGGGCCAATCACAGAGTAGCTGTGCTTGCAAAGAGCCCCTAGGCTGGTTTAGGTTTAGTCTACAGTGGTGCGATTCCGGTACTCGCAGGCTCTCGCAGGGCCCCAGCGATTACTTAAACTCTGAGATACCAGCGGGTGGCCGATAGGTGGGAGCGGGTGGCTTATCAGTTGCCGTTCCCGTGGTTGCTTCACCTGCTCGAAATGGGCGTCCCGGGAACGTCATAGAGCTTCTTTGATAGACTGCAACCTTCACTCCTGGTAGTCTTTTCTTATATGTGTCCCTTTCATTATGCTGAATTCATCGTCATAACATTGCTATTCTCGAAAATAATTGTTTTTTTGGCGGCACTGGCTCGGCCAGCAATCCGTTCTCTTTGAGGAATCTCATGGTTGAGGGCAGCTGGTTGGCTTATAAATTCACACAATGAGTGAGGGCAACACCACACTCCCAAGCACGCAATAGCGGCGAATACTGATGCTATCCCTCCCCAGAGTCCATAAGAGGCTTCAGCCTTCCCTTGTTAATCATTTATCATGCGATTTCAGGCACCGCATTCCCGTTTCAGGGCGTCACCCTGCCCGTCCAGGGTTCCAAGGGCGCGGTAGCCAGTGAGAGCGCGATATGCTCCCAGATAGGGATTGATCTGATTGCGCGCGGAGTACGTCAGATCTTTACATCCTTCCGTCTTATTAGACCCGCGGAATATCAATCGTTAATTGATTGATTAAATGAATCGGTGGAATGAATGAATGACTGACGGGTGCACAGGGCAATGCAGCTGATGCCATGGTGGGCACGACGCTATGCGTCGGTGTCATCGGCATGTATCACAGCGGTATTGGCGGTGGTGGGTTCATCTTGATACGTGATGCAGATGGCAATTATGAGTCCATCGACTATCGAGAAACTGCGCCAGCGGCTGCTTATGAGGAGATGTACCAGGGTAACATACTGGGAAGTCTTCTGGGCGGTTTAGCTGCAGGTGTGCCCGGAGAATTGCGTGGGTTGGAGTACTTGCACAACAAGTATGGTGTAAGTGTAGTCGCCAGTGACACGATGCACAAGCCATTCTGACCTAAGCTACACAGGCTTTACCGTGGCGAGCAGTTGTCAACCCTGCAATTCATGTTGCTAGGGACGGCTTTGAAGGTATGTCAGCAGAAAATGATCCTGGGGTCCCTCACAGCTACTAACCTTGGTCAGTTTCCGAGGATCTTGTTCGATACATGGATGCCGGGGCTTCGAACCCTCCTGGCAACTTTCTCGTGGAAGATCCTGTCTGGGCTGAGGACTTTGCGCCTAATGGTACACTCCTAAAGCGCGGGGACACTATCACTAGGAAACGATATGCCGAGTAAGATTTATGGGCTTACTTGACCGATCCTGTGCTAATTCTTGTAGCACACTTGAAAAAGTTGCCAAATATGGCGCCGATGCCTTTTACCAAGGAGAGATAGGTATGATGCCAGACTCTCAAGCAGGATCATGCTGACCTTGATTAGCCGAATCAATTGTCAAAGCCATTCAGGATACCAATGGTACAATGACGTTGTATGATTTGAAGAATTACAAAGCTCTCATTAAGCGCCCCATCAGCATTGACTTCAGGGGCAAGAAGTTGTACACGACGAGCGCTCCGAGTAGCGGTTCCGTTATGCTCAGCATTTTGAAAACGATGGAGCAGTATGACCCGGATGATATCCAGGATGTTAACCTCACCACGCACCGGTTCGGCGAAGCTATGCGCTTCGCATACGGCGCGCGGTTGGAGCTCGGCGATCCGGACTTCGTGAGCAACATCGAGTTATACGAGGACGTCATGCTCAGCAAACGCAAAGCGAAGGAGATTCGCAATCGTATCATCGATAACAGCACTCAGCCAATCGAGGAGTATAACCCGAAGGCTATCCACGCAGTGGAAGATCATGGCACGTCGCACATTGTGGCAGCTGACGCAGCAGGCATGGTAGTCACTTCCACTACGACAATCAATACTCTCTTCGGGTCGCAGGTCATGACCCCTGACACGGGCATCATCCTCAACAACGAGATGAACGACTTCTCTATTCCCGGTGTCCGGAATGAGTTCGGCTTTGTGCCTACAGCGGCCAACTATATTCGGCCTAACAAGCGACCGCTATCCTCCATCACGCCCATCATAGCCGAGCACGCCAATGGTACGGTGTTCTTCACCACTGGCGCCGCCGGCGGGAGCCGTATTATTAGCGCGACTACCCAGGTGGCGTGGCATGTGCTGGAGCACGGCATGACCATGGCGGAGGCGATTGCCGCACCGCGGCTGCACGATCAGCTCATGCCCAATCAGGTTACGTTTGAGTACACATACGACAATGGGACCGTAGAGAGCATGGTAGAGAAAGGCCACAATGTGACGTGGGTTAGGCTCGGCGTCAGCGCTGTCCAAGGGATTCGAATGCTATGGAACGGTTCTTTCGAAGCTGCCAGTGAGATGCGACAGAAGAACAGCGGCGGTCGTTCAATTTGATTGTCTCACAAATGACATCCAGATCAGAGGGGCACACGAGATATACCATGTATAGATATAGAGTCAGGAGCATATGCGTGATCGGTTTCTTTTATATCACTTCTTCTCTGAACGAGATGTGAGCTATGGGCTTATCCATAGACCTCCTCTATGCAACACCGAGTACCTTTACGTGTATCTATGACCGCCACAACAATGCTGGTCTTTCTGGCTCCCTTTGATCAAATGATTACACAAAATAATACAACATACAGTTACCGAGAATCCCAAAAGGAAAGGGGGTATCCATATAGTCTATGCAGTTAGTAGCGGAAGAGAGAAATCATGCGGTCATGGCCACCAGCTTCTCCATCTGCTCGATCCATTTCTTCGCAAACTCCTCCTCAGTGAAGCGCGTTGCGGATTGGCGAGCTCGCCGGCGGACGGCTAGAGGGTCAGGAAGAGAGAGGGCCTTCTCGTATCCCTCAGCAAACTCGGTTGGGGTCGTAGCATGGAAACCTAAGAAGAGTCAGCCATAGCCCCATATGGCTATTTGGAACCGCTATACATACCCGTCGGCTCGCCATCAACCTCTGTAACAATGTCCAACTTAGGACCACCACTGTCATGAACGACAGAAATCAGGCCGCTAGCCTGGTACTCGACAACTCCGATGCCGAAATGTTCATTCCACATTCCGTTGACACCGACGGACGCCTTTCTCAGCCACTCCAGGATCTCCGGCCACGAGGCGTCCAGGTGGAACTCGACCTGGTCCTGGATGTGCAGCTCATGAACTAGGAGGCGCAGCTTATACACCCGTTTCGAATCATGGTCGTCTCTAACACTACCGACGAGGACCAGCTTGGCTCCCTTCGCCGCCGTAGAGCCCGTCTTGACGAAGTCGGCGAACGATTGGAGGATGAGTTGGTGATTTTTCTCAGGTCGAAACTGTGCGATGTAGAGAATCACTTTTTCGCGACTCTTCTCACTCTCCTCCGAGACCTCAATCTCTTGGTTGAGCTCCTTGACTGCGCAGGGGGGGTACACCACTGCGATAGGTAGCTTTTGCTTCCGCCACGGACCCCAGAGCTTCTTGATATGGCCTTGAGTCCAGCTCGAATTGGTCATGACAACGTCCACGGTTGAGCCAACGAAGGAGTAGCACTTAGCAAAGGTCTCCCAGTATAACTTCTTCACAACGCCTCTGGCGCCAGTGCCCTGACCTGCATTGACGCCCTGGTCTCCAACAGCGGACTCGGGATCCAAGGACTCAAGCATATCGGTTGATATCGTCGGATAATGGACATATGCGCCTGTGGGAACATGCCGGAAAAGAAGCTTGCAGAAGCCAAGTGCAAAGGCATAGCCCATCGTATCGACAAACACGTCTGGAACCAGCAGAGAGAGGGCATCCCAGGCTAGGACAATCGATCCAAGAGACTGGCCTAATAGAGTGAAGTGTGGATAAGTTGAGGGCAAAACGAGATGTCGTGTTGAGAGATAAAGGAATTGGATTGTTGGGCCATGAAGTTGAATGTTGAACCTGGTCTACACGTTATGAGCGAAAAGTCATTAAGACTGCACCACAGTGCAAGACTCACCTTAACTCGGTCGAGGATGGCCTCCTTTTTGGCTTCGTGATCACCCGTGTAAACAACCACTTTAGCTCGAGGCCACCTCTTTTGTGTAGCTCGAATAGCAGCCCATAGGACTCTCTCACCACCTCCGCCGGCGTTGCTTGTCCTGTTAGCTCGAGTTCTTAGACCTCAAAGAAAACGGGCTTACCAGAATGGGTGGAAGAAGCCCACGACACCATCCCACTGCTTCTCGCCTGTCTGACCATTCGGGGAGCTGCCCACAGCATATGCCTCCACGTTCTCCCAGTCCCCATCAAGTGTCTTCTCGCCAGCTGTTTTCTTCTCTAAGTATGCTTTTTCATCTTCCTCCATAACCTCGAGGAGGCTCGTCCTCCGGCCCTCGGTCTTTCTTCGAAGATACCATCCTAATGCCGAGCCAATGCGTCGTGTAAGGAAGGGTAGAAGGTACGCAGTGAGGAAGGGAATTGTCGAGAGGGCCAGCAGACACCAGGTAATAGTCATAGGATGGTAGCCCAGGATAGTGGGCTTTGGGTGCTCACGCCCTGGCACCGACGATCCCGGCATGGTAACCAGGATGCGAGGGTGAGCAGTGCAGCTTGCTGATATATGGACCTGATCTTAAACTCTCCCGGGCAAGTTTGGGCCTAAAACTGGACGAACTAAAGAAAATGGCCGTCTGAGGCGTGTGAAAGAGCCGCGACACTCAGCACCATGCTCGTTGATGTCGACAGGTCAGGGACAAGGCGAGGTGCTTGCAGCTTGCTTGCATTTAAGCTGGAGGTGAGGCAAGCTGGCGGCAAACAAGCTCGCTCGTGTCTGTATGCACAAGCCCCACTGGCCGGCTGCCGGCACTACAGAAGGCCGCCAGCTGCGGCCCGTGCGGCCTCCTAGCTCCCTGTGCAAGCTGCTTATTGCAGGCGCCCTTGGATGCATCCTGGAGCTTTGTCAGGTCACTTGTGTTCTATCATGTGGTCCTCCTTGACTAACCCTACCTTTCACAAGGCCTATGCCTTTTCATGAACGGCGATTGACATGGCAATGTCAGTGCACATGGGCGGTCACTTGAGGCTTTCAGCCTCGCGGATTCGGCCTTTGCGGAATCTATCTTCTCATCATGAGAGGACATCATCCTTGACTGTGAAGAGTTGCACTCACCGGGTCCAAGGGAGAAGGCGCCTGCACATAGCTCCTTTCTTACAAGCTTCTGTTGAGGGGACAGAGCAACTCATCACCACCCTTCACACAGTCACAGGCACCCCGTGGTATGTCACACTACCATTGGTTGCCCTTGGTGTGAATGCCATTTTCAGGCTACCATTCATCGTCTATGCGCGGAAGATTGGTCAACGGAGAGGGAAGCTTGCCCCTGTACTACAGGCTTGGTATGCAAAGATCGTCCGGACAGTAGAGAGGGAGCCTATTCCTCCGTCAAGGAAAGCAAAAGAGGTTACCTCAAGATTCAACAAGACGTCGAAGAGGATATACAAGGAGTGGGGCTTGCAGCAATGGAGGATGCAGGGCAGTCTCTTCAGCCTTCCATTTTGGCTTGTCGCAATTGAGTCTATCAGAAGGCTATGCGGTGGACCTCGTGGCCTGATCGGCACTCTTGTCTTTGGAAAGAAGGAAGCTATTGACAATGGCAACGTCGTCTCTGCCACTGCATCCGCATCAAACCCTGCTGAGGTCATCTCATCAATGGACGTTGCAACTATCGAAGGTGTAACGGCTCCAGGGATAACGGATATCGCCATAGGCGCAGCAGACCCTACTCTTGCCACAGGTGGCTGCTTATGGTTTCCTAATCTCATGGAATCTGATCCTCTACACATTCTCCCGTGCTTACTCTCTGCCATGCTGGTAGTCAACATACTCTCTGGAACGAAAGGAAATAGGTTGGCTCTGTTTGGTCTTCAAGATCAAAAGGCTGAAGTTGATACAACCAGCGCTTCAAGCAAAGCCGCTTCGAAACAGAGTACAGCATCCGTTGAATCACCTGTACGCCGAGGACTACAGCGTGGCCTCATCATCCTTTCCCTCATGGTTGGTCCCGCCACATTGGATCTTCCGGCAGCACTTCATCTATACTGGCTATCGTCTGCTGGCTTCAGCTATTTACTTCACGAGGGACTGCGGCGCCTGATACCAACTACAACGACTTCGCTCAAGCCTGCAAGAGGCTTTGAATCACCCTTGATCAGACCACCTCCTCCGCCATGAATGATGGGGATAGTGTAATACAATGGATGTTATATTACGGCTGTAAATGGCCCTGTACAATAACGATGGTATGCTCGAGGCTAACGCCTGAAACGCCTGACAAATATACCCTACAATACAATGCGCTCTGACTCCACCTAGTCATATCCTCTACCCGAGGAAGATGGCCAGCAGGATAATCGTGAGAATCACCGCCAGGATCAGGAGCAGACAGCATGCCTTGCTCCGAGCATTCCTCTGATACCGTGCTGCCGCCCGTAACTCGTAGTCCGCACCTCGGGTGTCCGTCCGGACGTTCTCGACATTATCGGCAATGCTGTCCAACTGCTCGCCTTGCTCGGTTACGATCGTCGCAACTTGCTGGAACAGCACGTTGAGATCGCCAACACCCTGCTCGATATTGCGAATCTCCTCTTCTCGTTCGACGATCAGTGCATCTTGGAAGTCCACCTCATCCTGCGGGGCGAGCCGGGCAAGCTCCTGTTGTTGTTGTTGCTCTAAGCTCTCTGCTGGGACCGCCGCTCCGCCTTCCTCGTCAATCGCCGCACGCGCAGCTGATACGGAGGCTCGCTGCTTCTCAAGAGCTTGCCGCTGGAGATTCTGGAACTCGGACAAGGAAGATTGGAACTCGCGCGAGAGCTTCTGTTGCTTGTACTTTTGCGTCGGCTAATAGAAGTAGTTAGCCTCCCCTCTTTGTATATCCCACCAGAGTATCATACCGTAACGTCTTCCCATGTCTGGATCTTCTTGACACCCTCGCCGACCTCCTTGAACAGGTCGCGCGATTCCTCTAGCAAGTCATGCACGCGCTCCCGTACTCTAGCGGTGTCTCTCCGGGTTCCGAGGTGTCCAATCTCTGTCTGAAGTCGTGAAACGTTGCCGGTGATTGTGAAGAGCTTGTTCATCAAGTCTTGCGATAAGCGCTCAAACTCCGGGTCATCGGAGTACTCGGTGTTGTTGCCCCGTCGCGGCTGCGACTCAAGGGACGATAGCTGGTCGAACGACATCTTGAGCGGTAATGCACAGTTGAATCCCTCAATGAATGATTGTACGCCGAGCAGATGGGAAATGATTGAAAGAGTGAAAATAGATCGCTGAGGATCAAGTGCTTGTGATGTCCGCAACCTTGAAACTGAACTGCCCCGGGGACCGCTAATCGGCTGCCTTGCTAGGATGGATGGTGGCTGAGGTGACGGCAGCAGCAGCAAGCAGGCAGGTACGTAACAACCTGGCGAGGGGAAAAGGCACAGGCTCCACACACACACCACCTCGCCGAGCTTCCCACGTGATGCAGCCACACTTCCCCTACAAGGATGCCTTTTGGGCGCCGCGTTTCTACCGCGACGGGACCATTTTTATATTTACAACAAACGTCAGAGAATCTGCATTACACCAAGAGCTTTCCCTCTCTTTCGACAATGCCCAGCAACGATGGCCCCAGCACCAGTCAGGCGAGCTCCTTATAAGGACTTTCTACAGCCTGCGCTGCACAGACGTTTCTCAACAGCAGCTGCTATCCTGCTAGGAATAGCTTATGTGCAGGCTCTATTTCTTGGAAATCATAACTGTAAGTGTTTGCCATAGCTCCTCAAGAGCTGATGCTGACTTCTGCTGGTAGCTCTCTGGTTCTGGTTTCCCATTGGCCCCGCCGGCATTCGAACCGGCTTCCTTTTTCTCTGCAGCCTCTTCATCATTATCCTTCGAATCGCCCAGTATCATGTGGGGTTGCGAATCTCCGACTCGGCCTGCCAAACCTTTATGCAGAATGCCCTAAAGTCCCAAACCCTCGAGGCGCTTGTATCATATGGCTTGTCAAGCTGGCTATTCAGCCAAATCGGCCTGTGGTCGTTGGACAAGGAGAGCAACTTAAGCTGGATTCTATACAGCAGCGGGGATAGGGCGAGGCTGAACGAGAAACCTCTGTTCTTCACAACACACTTCGTCCTACTTGGCTTTGTTCAAGGCGCATACCATGTGCTGGTGGATCGAGACAGACTTACCCTCGGATCGGTGAAGGCCACTAAGGAGCTCACGGAAGCAGGCGGTAACAGTGCGAATCCGCTGAAACGCTTTGCCGAGCAAACGCCGTTTCTCGTACTCCCGGCGCTCACCTATTCGCTCGTTGCGATTGCTACAAGTCTCTTCTTCTACCCTCTACTCATTCGACCATTCGCATGGAGGACTGCTCTTACTTTCTTCCGCCCTTTTTACAGCCTTCCAAAGACCAACATGCTACCGGCTTCGATGCCTTTCACCATCATAGTTCTGGGCAGATGTCTCTGGTTGAGCTTCTTGTTATGCTTCTCTTGGTTGGCGGCAAACATCGCTTTCTCTATACTCATTGTTAAAGAGCCAATGAAGAATGGCAAGCCCCTGACCTCTGAATCGAAAGACCCCAATGGTAGTCTTCTGAATGGCTTGAAGAGCAAGAAGCTCTCAATCAAGGTATGGTGCTTTCCCCTTACATCCGCATACGTCACAGCTGATCGATAAAGTGTTTTGCTATGTGGGAGCTCGCCATTATCTCGCGCGACTTTGATGTGCGTCGGAAGGCAATTTACGAGGATCTTGAGCGGAAGGACGGGCCGATGTGGTCGCAAGTCTATGCCATTTGTCTCAACACAATCAAAAATATTGAGTTCAGAGTCGACAATTACGGAAAGGCTCCTGCAGAAGCTACCGCATCTGCAGCACCGTCCACAGATGTCCAAGCACCAACTCAGCGGGTCACCCAACCTTTGAGGAATGAGGATGTTCTAATACCGGCCTCGAAACGGAAATCGTTCCGTGGTGAGGTAGAGAAGGTTGTGAGTCAGGTTGTGACTTCCCCTGGGCAGCCCTCTCGCTTGAGTCCAATTGCGCAAAAGGCTGTGACGGATGTTAAGGGTACGCTATCCGCTATTAGGCAAGAGGTCACCGGATCGGGTGAAGCAGAAAGCCCATTCCAGATACAAATGCGCAAGCTCATAGCCTCGCCTGTTGGTTGGGCGTTCCGGCAGGAATTTGGAAGGAGACTCACTGCAGCGGTTCTGGGCGGCCCTTATGGAGAGCCTAGCCTTTACATTAATGCAGCAACCGCACTGACTCAATTGTCTGTGCAAAGTTTGACAGAGGACAGGTACGGAAATGTTCAGAGGGATGTGTCAAGCATCATTCGAACATTTACGGCTACAATAAAAAAGCTGGAAGCCTTCAAGGCGAGCTTCCCGGCCCACTGGACGGACGTGGGTGGCTCTAGGGAAGCCCCCGAGGTGGATCTGATCTTGGAGGCTCTGAAACTGGGTCTCAACCAGCTCATTACCGAGTTTGGTCCGTATAGCAAGGACTTGAGACTGAGCCTGACGGACATGCGGCTCGCTAGGGAAGCCGTTGGAGTGGCCAGTCACGAGGTGGTCAAGCAGCAAGAGATGAGCCAGATCCGATAGTATGAGGAGAAGGACTTCTTGAGCTGGCTAGACAGCATGTGACGATATTTGTATGCATACCATAGATCATGTCTGGGGATCGGCAAGGTTCAGGCTTCATAGAGACGGCCACCAGCCCAAATGGGATTTAAAAGTTCTAATACGATGCTTTACTGTCTCATGAGACTTATCAATATTCAACCTGGTTGTTTCCCGCCGTAGCAAACGTATGTGATGGATGCTTTGTGATACGAACATAGCTCTGCTCAGAGCTGAAATCTATATCCTGGCCTTGCTGTTTTTCCATCTATCACTCTTATATGTGTAACTCTTTTATACAACCTGGGGAGCTGTCCCTGCTTTTTTGTTCTTTGTCTAACCTTTCCGTGCATTTGGTCTTGACTGAGGACTGTGTAGGCGGGCACTAAATTAGTGGTGTGTGACCTCATATGCCACTCTCATTGGGCTAGGGAGTGGACCGCCAATCTTAGCGTGGCCGCCTCATCAGCTCCAGCTCGTTCCGGCTCAAAAGCAACTCCTTCCCTCCATCCCCATCGCACTTGGTTCGACTCCTGCGCACCAAAGGTCCTTGCGGGATGCTGTCAATGGAAGCGCAGAGCTTCTAGGGTGACAAGATGCTCCTTGCCTCTCACAACAGGCTTCACAGCACGCCTCCGCGGCTTGGAGACCGATCTGCTGAGCGCAGATCTGTATAGCTAGCATCATCATGTCTACCCGCCTAGTCTTCCGTATCATCTACAGGAGTGTCTACACCCTCCTCTGCTTCATCCTTCTCGTCCTCATACTCGTCACTCCCGGCGATGCGATCCGGCAAGCGCTACCTAAGCAGGCATACCACATCGTCATCATATCTGCCGCCTACATCGGTACAGTCCTTGTTGTTGGCTTCATCTACGCGGCGCGACTCTTCGTCAATCGCTCCATCCTGTCCTCCATACCCAAGTCATGGATCCCAATCGAGAAGGGCGATGTCAACAAACAAGTTCGCAAAATGATTGCCGCAAGTCTCAGCCGGAGTGCCGCTATCGCCTTCGAGTCTCGCCCGCGCGACACCTCCACGATCATGCCGGTCGATGTGGAGCCCGAGTATGAGGAGAAGGTGAAGGAGAATGGACATACAAAGCCGCATAAGAAGTCGCTGCATATGCTTAGGTTGAAGAAAACGGCCACGATGGAGGATGAATTGGGCATTACTCTGCCTCCACACAAGGCGGTTTGGGGAGAGATTGAGCATTTTGGATGGGCATCGCCGAACTCGCCTGATTTGCCCAACTTGCAGTACTCTACCGTCATCTCGGAACTGCCAAACTTGATCGAGGCGAAGGCTCTTACTCTGGCCCCGCCAGATCCGGAGTCTCTGGCTGATCCGCCCCTATTGGATCGCGAGGCTGTGGCTCTGCTGCAGAGGCCGGAGAGTATGGGACTGCGAGGTTATCTCACGCATTTGGCTGAGCTTGGGGTGTTGACAGCGTCACCTGCTGTCAGCGACTTCGTCTGCATGTACGAGTATGCGCGCTACTCCACACGACCCATCTCTATGGCGCGGTTCCGGGAACTGATGCACTTGTTCGCCGAGGTTCTGCGTGGAATGGAGAGCTTGGATCCCGCTGTTTTGAATCCTGTGGACGAGGATGATGCATCTTCAGAAAGCGACATTGACGATAATGCTCCACTTCAGACGAATCCGGGTACTCCGCGAAGCCAACGCAGTCAACATAGCTTCAGGAGTCAGCACAGTCTTGCGTCGGAGACCGGGAGCTCGAACAGTAGTGGATCACAGATTCGCCGACGGCCGCCTATGATAGCTCGCAATTCGTCGCAGAATACGTGGGCGCAGTATCGCACCGCACCGACAACGCCGAGAAGCAAGAGGACTGCGATATCGCGGACGTCCAGCGCGAACAGCTTTGCGCAGACACGGCATCCGTATCCCGCCAGTGCTTCATCCAGCTCGAGCACTCACTCTGGCTCTGGCGGGTCTGTCATTCGTCTGGCGGATCGAGCGGGGCCTGGCGAACTGCCGTATGTGCTTAGGCTGACGGATACGTACCATGATCAGCCGTTGGGCTGAGGGAGATGAATTACGAGATCACGATCCAGCCGGTTTTGGCCGTTGTTGTATAAAAGTTTTTGTTAAGTATATATTGTCTAATGCTAATACATTCTTGAAGGCCGTGGTCCGATTGCGCCTGTGATCGCTTTAAAAATGCATGGTGCTGTGGAATCATGGAGACAGCAAGAATGATAGCGACTGGGTGGTCGAAGCTGGTGCAACAAAACTCGATCAAAATCCCGTGCTGGTTGGGTTGATGGCGTAAGGCTTCCCGCAGTGACTTTTTGTTTCGATGCCTTCCGTTTTTGTCCTTCAAACGCCAGTCACGAAAATCAAGCACTTACTCTCCACCACCTAGAGCCCGGCTGCATACAGTCCTCACGACCGACCAAAACCAGTTCCGACTCAGTCCGTCACCGACAACCAAGCATCCCAGCGTTGACTGTGACTTAGCCAGACTACCTAACCCTATCTGGACGATACCGCGGTGGTAGTTGCGATGCACCATTAACGCTTTGGACTCGAAGCACACTAGCACGATGTTGTGGGGTTGCTGCACGTGGCACCACGGATCCAGTGCGTGCCTGATACACCTAGTTGTGGGAACACAAAGCGAGGCATGCTATCTTGCACAGCAAGCGTCAGCGCAGGAATGCCTTCACTGATGCTATGAACAGTATAGCCGATGGAAGCTCTCAGTGCACGCCCACCAAGGTCAATGACGGGCGTGGGTGTGCCGTTTATGATAGCGACTGCTGACGGGATTGGTATCGTCAAGGCGACGTTCCGACCCAGATGGATGAGGCTTGCACTATCGTCAAAGCAGGGTGCATAGGATTGGTTGTTGTTGTTGTTGTATCTGATGGTATTGGCCAGCACTCAGGATGTTGTCGCATCCGGACAAGGAGCGATAAAACGACGAGAAAAGATAAAGAGAGGAGCTTGTGCAGTGACACTTGCATACTGTTGTTGAGGTGTTGTGACAAGACGGCAATAGGAAATACGTGCTTGGATGTCGACGAGATGGAATCTGAACCGCATCAGAACTGATGGACGACGGAAAGAAGCGAACATCCTTACCATTTTTTGCCGGCATCATGCATCACAAGTCCAGTGTACGAAGGCCGAATGTCGACAATGAGCCTATCTCGGTTCGAATCTCGAGACTCAGCCTCCGAAATGGTTAGCCACCGATGTGATGGCGCTGTTGACTCTCGTGTTGCGTTCTGCCCGGTTGTTGGGATGTCCACCGATGAGGGTCACAGGGCCGTCTCTTGCCTGGTCTCTCATGAAGCTCTGCAGGCGCTGTCGCTGCATGCCGTGGGGATCGACCGCTGAGGCGCGGGGTAGAGGAACATGTCTGACAATACAGAGGGTTAGCAAGGCGGCTGGAAGCTATGGCAGACGACAGAGTTGCAGATAGGACACCAAGGAGGAATGACGTGGGGGGGATTTACCGACCCAGCGACAACTGACTCGGTCGAGGGCGCATCCATGATAAGAAGCCGAGTAATAAGACGCTCGGGGAGGCAAGAAGTTGTACTTGGAAGGAAAAGAATTAAAGCACGAGGAACTGGCAGTCCACCACGAGAAGATCCTCAGTCCGCCAGATGGCAGCTTATTATATACATGTTAGAAACCAGAAGTGCTACGGTCTGAACCGTTCCCATCGTGCTTCAGGGGCACTAGACACAAACTAGACACACGTTTGTGTATCTAGTTCACTCGTCAAAGTAATGAGGCTCCAAATCTCAGTTGGGCTGCACGCCCTAGCTCCGTTCCGGTATGGCCCTTATGCGCCGGTTGCCTTCCCACGTTCTCCACCCTTCTAAAGAGCAATACCTGCGGTGGTTCGGAAAAAGGCGAACCATTGTGAGGCTCAATTGTCAGTATCTGTCCTTGCGCCCTGCAACCAATTTCCTAGCTATCTCACTTCGATGTCTGCTTCAATTGGCATTACCCGCCATACTTACAACAAGTAGGAGACTTTTCAAGCCGTTTGTGGTAGAACTAGATGATATAGATACAGTATTTCTTTGCTTAATGTTCATAGTATCGTTAAAGCGGTTTATATGAAGCCTTTGACCTTCTATAGCTCTATCGACACGCCTCATAGCAACGGAGCCGTAGATGTCTGCTTGACCTCATACAAGAACTTTGCCTTCTTGTGATGAATCTGATGATGGGTTCCCGTGCTGGGCGTGGGGTTGCCCTAATTAGCAGCGCGAAGGAACGCCACGCCTTATTGGAAATCTTTTGCAGTTCTTCCTTTACAGGTGCCCCCGCCACATCTTATTAGATGGTCTAGGTGCTGAGACGTGTGAGAACCGGGCATCAGAGGAGGAGCGCATCAGAGGGCTCTCGGAGGGCTTAAGAGACCAGCACCTGAGTTATGGTGCCCGCTAGCCGGGGTGCAGCTGCCTGACAGGGGCCCCATGCCTGGCATGGTGGTCACGACAGGGTTTAGATGGTGCTTCCTTCGGTTGGGTGTGGTTGGTTGCCCCCTCCCTTCCGAAGGACCCATGGGGCAAGATCAGTTACCCCTTCCGTTATTCCTCGTGGTAGGTAAGTGCAGGGTGTACACCTTGGGCTTGGCCGAGGTACCTACCATGTAGATATTCCTCAGTCGGCTCCTCGATTGTAGGTTCCACCAAGCATGCCCCTTTTGCATCATCGGACAGATGCCACGAAGATCAATCGACTCGGTTGGGATGCTGACTGGTCTGAATTGCAAGACCAGGTCGGCATCTCAGCAACGACACCGATTAATTGGCTCGTCGGCATACGCAGGCTTTGAAAACTTTTGACTTGGCCACGGATTGTGCTTTCTCAGTGGTGCACATGATATATGTACATGAAGGCTTCATGGGCTCACTGCACACTCCAAAACTTGTTCCGGATAATTCACTGCCACATCATCATGCTTGATCCATGACTACCTGAGAAAAGCATCATTTGAAATCGTGGCTGGTCATGCCACCATTCCAATCATTTCACTTTTCTAGACATATCAAGGCATAGAACATAGATCATATGGCTGCCTAGGGATCTCTTACGGGTTCGTCCCACTAGTCGCGGTCAGGATTAGTTCCAACTGATTGGAGATGAGCGGTACTTCCGTAGGTCAGTTGAATCTGACCTGACATTCACTCTACCTACTCCTCGCCCGCAGATGACGTTCCTCGTAAGGCTGATCAGCAAAGTAAACAGTTTGCGGGCTCGTTCGATTGCAGGACAGGAAAAGAAATCCTCCGTGGAAACTTGGACAGCGTAGGGTCTACCCTGGGCGGCAATACTGCAATCCTCAGGTTTGCATGACGGATTTCATGGATCCGCTCGCTTCATAGCGGTACTCTGGAGGTTCTCATGTACTGTTCTGCCACACTAACAATCTTAATACTTTGAAATCACCGACGCTCAATAACAAGAGGTATGATACCTATTAATATCTCGAAGATTGTGTGTACTGCTATAGTCCTAACAACCTCTATAAAGGTAGCAAATCCTTGGTGAAGAGGTTATGCCACCCCTGCCAAACTCACATTTGATATCCTAGCAGAGGAGTCGATCAGTGCCCTCAAGTAAAAAGATTAGGTGTGAATGTGTGAGCCACCATGGTTAGAGCCTGGTTCATAACCGGACGGAATACTTGTTTAGTACATTCATATTTACTCTTCTATTTAGTTACTCGATGAATTTTTTGGGTCCTGGCATACATTCCGCCTTTTCAGAGTTTTGAGTTTTCTGCAATCCACAGTGGTCCCCAGATACCTTGAACAAGAGATCGTTTCATGACCGCCTGATGCTTCCCACATCCGCGAGAGACACGACGATTCAGCCTGGCTTCGAGCTATCTCAAGGGTCTACGTCAATATCTCTACACCGAGTATGATTTTGCAGTCTGACAATCCAATGTGACTGGTTGATATACTCTCTCATCATCGGCCAGTGCGTGCAGACAGACGCGGCGTTGAAGGCAGCAGATTTCATGTCTCTTGTAAGTGCTTTTTTGATGTCCGACAGCCGGAAGAATGGTCTTGTAAACAATAATCCGCTCATTCCCTTCACGTGAACCAAAACCGTGTCGGAGTACATTTCGGAAAGTTTGGGACATCGATGATTCATAGTCGTGTTTGACGTGATCTAGATGGTTTGTCTGGGATCTCGTAGAAGAGTTCGTGTCTCGTTTTTCGGTTATCGCCCCCATTGTTTGGCATTCGGCAGGCAACGCGTACTTCGATCACGAACCCTTGACAATATACCCGCTCCAAGCAAAAAAACCATCATGGCCCATGTTATCGATATAAAAACAGGTCTTTCATGGTATTATAGATTTTCATTACTCCGTAGTCTTAGAACTAACGGATGTTGTGACGCCATATCTTTTCCGGCATGTCATTTTACGAGCTGCAGACCCAGGATCGTAGTATATGAATCTAGCCATGTACGAGAAGGTTTCAATTCTGGGCAATCCTTGGTTTTCGTCTTGGTGATTAGGAAACCCTGAAGATGTGTCGGCCAAAATATTGCGATCACAGGTGATCTCAGGCACGTCCCAGATGGCGAATGTAAAGCACTGTCTCTGTGAGCCTCTGTGGCTGTTATTCAAGCTGTTCTGTTGGCGTTGTCATCCTTAACGTTTTGTATCGATCCAAGACCTCAAGTCAGGTAAAATGTATCGACAGTCTACCGCAATGTTGAAATTCGAGACACTGCGTTATGTAGAGCCCGGTTGCCCGGAACAAATGAATGAAAAGTCATTCCGTAAATGCCATCTTTTGCTTTTTCGAAGTTCCCCCTTTTCGAATCTTGTGTCCTCGGCCACCCTAGGCAATATTGCGGCCATCTCCACTACTTCCGTTTACTTGGGACTTCATACCAGAGGCACTCGTAGACAGAGGCGCATTTTACCAGTCGCGATCTTGGAAATCGGACTTGACTCTTGCGCAAAGCGTTTATGGAACAGGCGCAATTTAGATGAAACAGATTGCTCGGGTATCGTTTTCTTCTTACCCCCCATAGACGGACAATGCTTCCGCATCGTGAAATCGATCACGAAGCCAATAAAGAATCTGTGACACGTCACAGAAATTGACCATTTGGGACGCAGAGGCGAAGTAATCATGATTGACGATCATTCAA